TCTCCCCTCTTCCCTCCACCCCCCCCTCCACTCCTCCCCTTTCTTCCCTTGAGACATCCACCCTTCAGTTGCGCCTTCTTTGGCAGCATCTCATACCAACTATTCCCTTGGAGCTATCTCTCCGTCATATTTCCCCGACTACACACCATTTCTCATTGTTCCTGTACTTGCGCAACTATGGAAGCGCCGAAAATTGACGCTCCGGCGTACAGAACTTTGATCCGGGACATCTTCTTACTCCCCGACCTCCCAGGCAGAAACAACGACGGCCCCTTTCTCAATGACCTACCAAAGTTGCTCATCTACGCTCTCGAAAAATACAAGGACCTGTCCCCCCCGAAGTCCGCTATGAAACTGCGTCAGTGTTGCAGGAGCATCGGTAACTTTCAGGAAGCCAGAGCTAAGACGGACCAAATAAACGAACAAAGTGTTCAAAGGATGCTAAAGAGTGGCGGTGCTGGTACGTGTACTATATTTGTCTTCTTGCGCATGACCATTACTAATTACTTTTCAGCGGCCATCCCTCTGTACCTACGCTATCATAACACTGGTGTCATCATTCGATGGAGTCAGTCCTCCCAGCATCGCATCGAGTTCTTCCAGCTATCCCCTCGGGTTGGTGCTGTGACGTTGACAGTCGGAAGACTTCGACGACAGTTTCCAGAGATAAGCGTCAGCATCAAAGAAAACGTTGCTGCCGATGAAAGATTTACTAAAGTAGTTACCGAAACACTTGCTGAAATGGACAAAGCCGAGGTTCCAGGGTTGAAACCCGTCAGAAAGACAGGGAGAGGGAAACAATCCGAAGACAAATGCGATGCCACCTTGAGTGACCACATTTTCGATATTCTCGTCCCATTTCTTCTCACCGAACAGTCCGAAGGGCCCAAACCCCGCAGCCAAAGCATCGTGAAACATACGCGGGATTATGTGTTGTTTGTGGATGAAAAGAAGGCGGTAGTCAGAAGATCACCGATTTGGCTCCTACTCAAGGTTGTCCTGCAACAGGAGCTGCGAAGTCACGACGATGACACAACGTACAAACAATTCATGCTGGTATTTCTGGCCATGCTTCTCGATGGTGCATGCGCCCGCAACCTTGACAGCCCAACGATCCATTGCATGGCGCGTAAAATTGGCTACCGAACGTGGAAGCTACAGAGTAAGGCCATGGGACCATGGATGGAGGTTGTCGACATCGCCGTGAAGAGGGCAAGCGATTTGCTGAACCGTTGCTGGAAGAAGATAGTGCAGGCCGACCAGGACCAGAGAGCCATCAAACTTCCTCTTTTTATCTCCGATGCTACTGATTGCCATGTCAAACTCAGCGAGCTCGACAAATTCCTGGCCAGGGTCCGTGAGTGCCCACCCGAGATCAATGCACCAGTTCTGGATCCCAAATCGGACATTACGACATGGGCAGAAGGCAAGCTGCCAAACATGAATGACGTGGGAAAGGAATCATCCAACGGCGACGTATTCAATCTGATCAAAGTCGAGCAATGGGTCGAGGACTACCTTCCATCTTTCGTTCAAGCACAGGGAAATGACGTCTCAACATGCTCTGACATCAAAAAGTTCGCCACAGCCTATTTTAAACGTGCCTCCGCCATCTACAAAGATTCCCCGGATCACATGTCCGTCATGTATCTTACCATGCTCGAGCTGTGGATTGCGTGCGACCGTTGTGTTGTCGCGCGCAATACTTTGCTGCAAGACTACACTCCTCTCGGAGTGGAAAAAATCGACTGGCAGTCGCTCATGCTGCGAACGAAGCGAGATATGCTCCGGCTCTCCATGGCAGAAGATTACCTGGAAAGCCGATCGTCTGATAAATTGAACATGGTCGGGAAATCTGAATGCTTTGCGTCTCGCTTTGCGCAGGCCAGCAAGCCTCACCTGACACTCATGGCTACAATAGAGAGTGACATGGCCAAGTTGGAACAAGAAAAATCGGATGAGTTGAATCAACTCAAAGAAAAGCAGAAATTTCTCTTGGACGCGCACAAAAACGGAACCTGCGATCCCTCCAAATGTCGCGTAGGAACCTCCAACCTCCTTTGCCAGCGGTGTAATCAACTGGCCGTGGCCTGTAGCCTGACCATCGCTCCTCTCCAGAAAATTCTTCCCGATGATCCTGAGATTGCTTACAATCTCATTTTTGAACTGCAAGTGCCCCCAGACATCTCTGCATGGCGTGACTTTTGCTATGTCCTTCAGCTCGACGTCGCGGGCCATATGAATCGAGGGCCCAAGCCCGGATTGTTCAGCTACATGCGCAACTACACCCAATTCGAGCGCTACTTCAGAGCCAATGGTATAGAGTCCAAGTCCAGAATCACTCTCGCATCTGCCCACCCGGAGGAAGAAAATCCACCCGTGACTGTCCGCCAAGATCTGAAGCTGGCCGATCTCTGCGTACCACATTCGATGAGGTGGAAGCTCTTTGACAGCAGCCAAGGTGCATACATAGAGGACATAAGGCAGGGTGATTTGATGGACAAGACGTGCTCCATGGGAATTGGTGACGAGAACAAGCTCTTGCAGCAAGTGCTCGCAGACCCCTCCATGACCCAGAATGAGTTGATCTCGAGGCGCCTGGAGGCGGAGACTACCATCATGGCCAAACACAACGAGGAGCTTGGGTCTCTATACATTGGCGATAATATTACCTGGCCAAAGATACTACGCGATCTGCGAGGCACATCCATCGACTGGACGGCCCCGGAGACATTTCTGATCATCACTGCGGTGGCCATGACAGTCGGACCGAAACGAAAGGGAAGCGGGTCTAGACTGAGACACTACCAGCTAGGCAATGCAGCCTTTTCTACTAAAGTATTAGATGAGGTCATGCGACTGCTCACGATATACACAGCAAGCTTCTCCGGCCGCAGAGCGCTTGCCGTATTTTGCAGCATTGCCCTCAGAATCCTGACCGAGGCCCCGGACTCATGCCATGAAAGTGCTTTCGGGATTTTGCGCAAGGTACGAAAGGTGTGTTTTTGTTGGTTGAGAGATGTCAGGTTCTCTGGAATAGAGATGACAACGGACATGCTGGAGACGCGACTGGACATTGCCCTCATTTGCTCATATGCTTTCAACGTGGATTACGCACTTCTGAAACATGTCCTGTGGGAGAATAAAGCAGTGGGGATGGAGCAATATGTTTTCGCAATGACCATTATACACGAGGGCAACGCCACGAGCCCCTTCCAGAAAGCACTCTTCTCTGCCTGGCAGCGACTGAGCGTCACGGCGTCGGGGATTCTGGCCGAAGTGGTTCGACATGGTCAGCCTAGTCGTGTGAGGAGTGGTTTAATTTTCAGTCTGGGAGAAAGTACGAGTCTGACGCCGGATGAAGACCGCTTCGAGCATGTCTCCGGCCCTTGGGTCAAGACATACACACAGTCTTCCGTCCAATCGGTCAGCAAGATTATTCACCTGAATCTCATGACAGGAGAGATTCTGATCGATGGGAAGAGCCCGCGACATTTGAGTTCAGAGTACCGGGCGCATCAAGACTTTCATGCCCTGTTTGGAGATATGAACCCTGCCGTCACGCCACTCCACCATTCCGTTTACCAATACCGATTCCGGCATCCCTTTAAAGGCTTCATTATCGACGTCGGCATGGAAAAGATGAAAATGAACTCTGAAAATGCAGTCGTCAGACAGGATTTGCACGTACGGGCAGGGAAAGGTAGCACATCATTTGTATTGACGCCGCGACATATGTTGACGACTGGGGAATTCCCGTTTCCCAGCGAATATCTTGACAACTACATCTACTGGCATGAAATCACAGACGGTGGATATAAAGTAGATCTATACCCTCGCCAAAGCCCCTGGGACAAGGGCGCAATTGCGTGGAGCCTGGAGTCGCAGCAGGATGACTGGCTCTTGAAGGAGCACGAGGGGGGGCGAATTGTGATGCCTGCCTCGTGTCATCACTTCGTGAAGCTGTCGAAAATCTTTGAGCACTTCACAGCCGAAGATGATCTCACAGTCACGGTGCACAACGAAAAGAAGATTCTGGAAGTGCGCCTGGGCACCCTCGGATTGAACTTTTATGTCAACAACGGATCCACTGTCATTCGCTCCGTCGAGTTTGAGGACATGTGCATCGATCATGACTTTTTGCTACAAACACTGATTGGTCTCCGGCAAAAGCTCATTCTCCGCCACTCTTCTGACCAGTCGAACCGGATTCTTCTAGTCGCCGACGGCGAGGACAAGTGTCTGTGGACGCGGCGAAACCACACGCAAGTTTCCATAGACATAACAAAGGAGACAACCTATCAAGCGTATTCAATCGATATGAATCTAAAGCAGCTACGAGGCAACCAAACATGGAGAAGTAAAGCGTACCTTGCTTACCTGTCGGCACTCACGTCGCATTGTTTGCCCGATCCATTTACCTGCCACACGGGGCAGGAGACAGCCCTCAACATCCTGACGTCAGGCGCCATGATTTCCTTTGATAGTTTGAGCGACAAAGACCGCGAGCTACTGGAAAAGATTAGGGATCTTGCGCCGGAAAGACAGCTGCGAAAGAGACCAGGTACGAGTCTGCCAACAGTGAAATGGAGCCAAAAGCTCAACCCCGTCGCGCAGCACGAGGGGTACTGTTTTGCCGTGGAGAAGATATTTTCGCATGCCGAGATACTGGCCTCCTTGAGTACCGGATTTGAATTCGCACGAAAATCGTGCTCGGAAGCCGAGCTGCGACTGAGGGAAGCCGATGCCGTCCGCTTTGCCTGTTTTCGCGCGACGGGCTACAGCAACCATGATGGCGCGCGCGATGCCGACTATTACTTTCGCATACCGGAAAAAAAGCAAAAGGCAACAAGCAAGAGACCGGATCCGATAGACTATGGTTCGTCGGACGCTTTTCGCAGAGCATACATGGCCGCGCTAGGTGCGAAGCTCTGTCAGCGCTTCACAGAGAAGGCACCAGCGCCGGGCAACCTGTTAATCCACATGACGAAGTGTGGTACGTTGAAGACGGCGACGGACCATTACGATGTAGAGAATCTGAGATATACGAGCAAATGGCTGGACCCGGAGGAGTCAACGCTAGTGCAAGACCTGAGCTCTATTCACAAGGCGCTGGTGTGCCCCATGGCGGAACGGAACCCGTACCGGCTGCGATTATGGCTGAGCACTGTCGCGTGTGGTATGGAGAGCGGTGTAGCTGGCGATGTGATTCCTGTTCTTGTCGCGCTCGTCGGTAAAAAGCTGGCGTATTTTGCGTTGCCCACAAAGACGAATCCGGATATAAGTCTCGGGTGCGAGTACAGCGCGGATCGAATTGCGGCGACCTTGAACGTGGCCAAGAGGCAATGGGCCCCGGAAGCCGATGTTTTCTTGGAGGAGACGGACGACCACAACGCCACAGCGAAAGAGTTCTGTCACAAGCAAGACAAGGAAATATCATTGCTTGCCGGGAAGATGGCCGGCCAGGGCTTCTTCTCCCTCGGTAACCACAGCAAGTACTTTGATGTGGAGCAAGCTGAAGCGTCTGTGAAAAGGCTTTTTAGAACCTGGGATCTTAACAAGAAATGGACACGCTACTGTGAGGATCTGTCTCGGGTCGTCTCCGGCCTGCCCGTCTCCGACGCAAAACCTCCGTCTATCATGCATGCTCTGCCCGACGGGGCTGCCAAGCACCTGTCTGGCCATGTCACCATCGAGGCAATGATGGCGAAGGCTCCGGCTAGCTTTGACAAAAGTAACACATGGAGAACGCGGTTTAAAGATGAGATCAGGAGCCACATGCAGTGGGGGAAACACGAGGTACGCGCTGCGCTTATTGATTTACCTTGGGTTCTAGGCCGGACAGCCAGCAAGCAGCATGAGAAGGACTACATTGCGGGACTTGAAACAAGCATCAAGGCATTAGAAAATCACCGTTCAGTAAAGAAAGTAGTCGAAAGCTCTGCTGAATTAGATACGGCGACACGGGCCTACAAAGCCGAGATTGAGGAGAGACTGAAAGCTTGCGCGGTGGAAGCTGACAAGGCGATTCGCCAAGTCACCACCGAGATCAATCCGACATTCGCCAGCGTGATTCGTCACTCCGACGTCTTCCCGAACATATCTCTTTGCTGGTTTTTGAGCCAGCTCTCCTTCAGTAAGCAAGCTGCTTTGACGGAGCCATGGCGAAACCTGATTCAACAAATGGCCGCCCTGTGCCGCGACCGGCAGCACATGAAGAGGATTACTCAGGCGGGCAAAAACGGGGCTCAACTTTTGCACGAGCTGCAAACCCTAGACAGGTATTCCTACGATGACTCGGAGTTCCCCGATGCGGTTCTCCTTGAAATAGAGCAAGACCTTTGCCTGCGCGCCAATCAGCTGGAGACGGCAGTCCGGATGAAAACCCCCCCCAAAGAGGACAACTCCGTCATGCAGCTCAACATGGGCGAGGGAAAGTCATCCGTCATCATCCCGATCCTGAGCGCCTCGCTAGCTCAAGGTAAGACGCTCGTCCGCGTCTTCGTTGGCCGGCATCAGTCGGCCCAGATGAGGGACACGATGACGGCGGCCATGGGCGGGCTCATGAACCGCTCCGTGCTGTGCATGCCATATAATAGAGACTCCAAGCTCAGAAAGAAGGATATTGAAAAGCTCAAAGGAATGGCAGTGCGCTGTGTCAAGAGTGGCGGCGTGCTCCTGCTGCAGCCCGAGAACCACCTTTCGCTGCTGCTGTCCACATGTCTCAACGAGGACACGACTTTGACAAAGTGCTACGTGAGTCTGGTAAAGTATCTGCGGGAGACCTGCCGCGACATCATCGACGAGTGCGACGAGCTTCTATCGCCGTCGTATGAGCTCCTCTACACCTTGGGCACGCCCGAGCCCGTCGACTTTGCGCCGGACCGGTGGGTGTTTATTCAAAACCTCCTCGGACTCCTCGCGCAATATGCCAACCCAAAAGCCCGGGTCGTGACCGAGGACGAGGTTCTGTACAAAGGAAAGATGGGCAAATCCAATGCGTATCCGGCATTTACTTTTCTGTCACCGGCAAGCCTGTGTAAAGTGCTGACTGAGGTGGGCCGAATGTTCATCATTCGCGGTATCACAGGGTTTCCCGTCAAACAATACTCCTCCTCCATGAAACGTGCCATCAAAGAGTTCGTCACCAAGGCGAATCCCACGTCAAAGACTGTCAGGTCGATAGAGCAGCTGGGCGGCGCGGCCAAGTCCGGTCTGGCTTTGGTTCGAGGCTGCATCGCCGGCGACATTTTCCGCGTCGCCTTGCTACAAAAGCGCTGGCGCGTCGACTATGGCTGCGACTTTGAGCGCATACCGAACACCCGTCTTGCCGTCCCCTTTTCGGCCAAGGACGTGCCCAAGCCGCGCGCCGAGTTCAGCAACACGGACATTGTGATTGTCTTCACCCAGCTGTCTTACTACCAGAGCGGACTGCGCGAGCAGGACGTCCGAGATCTCGTGGAGCAAATGCGCGTGGCGGATGGCGGCCATGACATCTATCGCCAGTGGTTTAGCAATTCAGAGATGCCGGGGGCGTTATGGGAGCTTAAGGCTGTCAACTTGCAAGACGAGCGGCAGTTCCGCAAGTTGTTCTTCCACATTCAATACTCGGTCGAGGCCATTAACTACTTCCTAGGCCGCCTTGTGTTCCCCACGGAGCTTGGCGCCTTCAGTCGGCACATGGCAGCTTCGGGCTGGGATCTGGCCGAGAAGACGACGCATCCAACGACGGGTTTCAGCGGCACCACGGACCTGTGCGCCGTGCTCCCGCTGGCCATGAACCGACACGACTTGCCATCGCAGGCACACACCAATGCTCTGGTACTGAACAATATACTCCACAGGGATAATACGGTGCTTTCCATGCACCAAGAGCTGAAAAATAGGCTGTCTGATGGCAGAGACTTGATTGAACACGTCATAAGGGACGGTCGCATTCGCGTTCTTCTCGACGTCGGCGCCCAGGTGATCAAATTCAGCAACAAGGAAGTCGCCAATCGTTGGCTCCAGCAGAAAAAGGACCAAGACATCAAAGCCGTCGTCTTCTTCAGCGAGTCTGAAGTTCTCTCAGTCATGGATCACAGTCTAGTCGTGATGCCTCTCAAGGAGTCGGTGTACGCAAAAAAGCTCGACGCCTGTGCCGTCTTCTTGGACGAGGCACACACGCGCGGCACGGATTTGCGACTGCCCCTCAACTACAAAGCCGCCGTTACTCTAGGACCAGGTCTCACAAAGGATCGTCTGGCTCAAGGTAAGGATTTTGCTGTATCCTAAGAATTTTGCTCCTTTTACTAACTTTGGACAGCGTGCATGCGGATGCGAAACCTGGGCAAGGGTCAGACTCTCGTCTTTTATGTAAGCTTCGAGGTGGAGAATGATATTCGAAAGTTGCTCCAGCTACCTCACGACCAGCCTTTAACCATCGACCGCATTATCCAGTGGTCCATCTCCCAAACTCAGGCGAGCATCACGCGACAGATGCCGCACTGGGCTAAGCAAGGTCGTCGCCACAAGCTGCAAAGCGAGGCGTGGAAAGAGGTTTTGAAGATCAGACCGACGTCAGAAGAATATGAAGGCATCGAGGAACAATTTGTTCGAAAGGGGAGAAATAGCATCTAGAAGAGCTATGCGCCCCGGGCAGCCAAGAAAGCCGGTGCCGCTTCTGCAGAGACGGACGACGAAGCGGACTCCGACTTTGACCACCGGTGTCGGGAGTACGGCTACTGGGGCACCACCTCCCTGGCAGGCAACGTGGACGAGACATGCGAGCGTGAGGTGGCACCCGAGGTCGAGGACGAAAAGGAAGTCTTGAAGCCGCCGAAGCCAGACGCCAAAGACTTTTTCGGTAATAAAACTTTGGAAAAATTTATCTCGCATGGTACGATTGACCAAGCAAGCGCCATGTTGGAATGGGCCTTCGAGTCTCTTCACCGGACCACCCTGGCTCCCATGGTCAAGAAGTTGCAGTTTCCTTGCAGCCTGCGCGTGACTACCCCATTTGCGAAGGCTGTCCGTACGGAGGACCTGACAGACAACTATCAGCAGCACGTCGCGTACGTCTTGCACACGAAGCCGAGCCTCGTCCGGCATCCCGGCCAGCAAGCGGACGTCGTCATCATCAGCCAAGATGAGCTCGAAAACTACTGGGACGAAATCAGCCAGTCTAAGTTCGTCTCGCTGCACTGCTACAATGCAAAGGTGACGCCCGACGCCGCCGCGCTCCGCGCCGAGCCCATCTACCCCCTCGACGGCGACCTCGTCTACGCGCACCCGGTCCACACGCGGATCGCACTCGACCTCTTTGCGGGCCAGCTCTATTTTAGCACATACGACGAGTACGTGCAGGTGTCAAGCTTTCTCGGGCTCGTCTACTTTGAGGAAACGGGCGACATGGCCGTTGATCCGGACGGTTTTGTGCCACCGCCGGAGCGCCACAAGATCCCGCGATGGCACCGCCGCGCAGACCAGTACTGGGACACGTTTTCAACGAGCCCCGTGCCGTTCTTCAAGAAGTTCTTGAGCGTCGTGCGCGGCCACGGCGCGGGCATCGAGCATTCTCACATGGGACGCATCCTGGACGGCGAGCACCTGGGCAAGGCCGAGTTTCCCGACACCTTTCGGTTGCGCGGACCCAACGACGCAGTGGTGGTGATAGAGGTGAAGGAGAAGAGCTCGGTGCTCGATATCGGGCCACCGGAGGGGCGCCGCAAGCGTGAGAGACGGGATAAGAACACCGTTGCCGCGGCGGCAGAGGAACCGGCGAGCAAGAGGCAAAGGAATAGTGCCACTGCCGGCAGCTCCTTGTCACCACAATGTCAAAACGTCGACTTGTGTTGTCCATTAGTAAAAGGCAGCATGAAAGAGAAGAATGAAGGGGGTGACGGCTGTGTTATACAGAAAACGAGGAATGTGTGGGAAAATGCCAGGAAGCGCAAGAGAGGGGAAGATGGGGAGTGAGTAGGTATGGGTGACGTGTGGTGATGGAGGGAAAGCGGCAAGCATGGAGAACTGAAACTGAGCAAGACAGAAGAGCGGGAACGAAGACAAAGAGGCAGGCGGGTTGCGAGTTTGAAACGGGTTGATGATTTGAGGAGTGAGTTTGCTTGGGATACTGGATAATATTGGCGACATTTGTGCTTGGCATTCGATTTCGATTTTATTTTTTACATTTAAATACCCTTTTGAGACGAATAAATGAAATCAAGATAAAAAAAGTAACTACGCTTCTGCATGTCCCAACAGTGGTATCTACATTTCTACACCCTACCGCGCCCAGCGCTCTACAAACTCGTCGCGCTTCAGGCTTCCCCATCCCATCTCACCGCCATCAAACCTGGCGAGCTTCTCCCTCGCTTTGGTGACCTCTTGGCCCAAGACCTGGATGGACTGCTCAATGCCCGGATCGGCCAGGTGCGCGGGGCCAAACGGGGTCTCGGCAAGCACGCTGTCCCGGAGGCGCTGCATCGCGCGGCGCGCGTCCTCGAGACGCTCCGCCGCAGCCGTCTCCAGCTCGTCCTGGGCGGCGCGGGCCACGCCGGCGTCCTTGAGGCGGCGCTCGCGCACCAGCTTGCCGAGGGCGGCGATTTGCGAGTGCGCGCTGCCGTCGCCGTATGCGTCAATGGGGAGCGCGAGGGCCTGCATCAGGCTGTCGATGGCGGGCACGTCGTGGACGCCGGACGAGCGGCGCCGGTGGTGGGACAGGTCGCGCGAGAGGCGCTTGCTTCTCGCGGGGGGCTTGACGGGGGACGCAGCGTCGATGGAGGGGGGCAGTGGGGGGTCCGGGCTGGGGATGTCCGAGGCGATTTCGTCGCGCGCGGTGGCGACGACGCGCTGGACAGCGGCATGGTGGGCATTGTAGAGCTCCGTGTGTGTGTGGAGGGCGTTGATGCGGCTCAGCAGGTAGTCGAAGCACTGATCCATGTAGGCGAGAGACGAGGCCGTCTTGCGCATGCTCTGGCCGCTGCGGGTGGCGATGGCGCCGAGGGCCGGCTCGAGGTGCTGCTGCTCGACGGCCATTTGCGCGACGGGCAGGATCTCGGAGTAGAGGGATTCGAGCTCGGCCTGCAGAGCGTCCATCTCGTCGGTGTCGGCGCTGCCGTCCCGCGATTGCTGGGCGGTGGCGAGCGCGGACAGGTACGTGGTGTCGAGACGCGTCCTAATTGTCTCGACAGTGATTTTTATCAACCTGACACTGTGAGTGGCGTGTTTTTGCAAGTAAAATGGTCGGCAACGTACCGTAAACATGTCTCTCGCAACTTGTCTGTGGATTTGGCTTCTTCCGGGTCTGGCTCGTTGAGCTCCCACCCGAGCTTCTGCAGGCTCGTCAGGAGAGCATCATCCGACTTGAGAATGACGTCGAGGGCCTGGTGCAGCTCGTTGCCCTTGGGATCGCCGTCCTGCTTGAGCTCAGCGATGCGAAACTCGATTCCATGTGCGATTTCAGTAATCTACACCGCCAGTGAAAGTCAGCAGAGTATAGGCTCGTACACGTTGCGCCGAGGCAAACATGTCTCGCGCGGGGGGGGGAAGGGGATGCGATGCGGTCAGAGAGAAGAAGAAGAAAAAAAATTACCTCGGACGAGATTCGTACACGCTCTGATTCGGCCTTGCGGCGGCGGGACGCTTCCAGCTCGCGCCGCCTGGCGTGGGCGTCGGCACGGCTCGCTACCAGGCGCGCCCAGGCGTCGCGCTGGTGACGCAGGGTTTCAGCTTGCTTGTTCACGGCGGCGGTGGAGCGGACGAGGTGCGCGGCGGCGGCCACGACGTCGTCCTCGCGGAGGGACGGCATCTCAGACAGGTCATGCAGCTCGGCGAGGCGGTCCACCTGACCGCTCCTGTCGAGCGCGTTGTAGCTGCAACAGGCGGGCATGTTAGCGAGAGGGTGATGGTGGTCTTGTCACAAAGGGCGAGAAAGGGAGGATGGCGGCTTGACGCGTACAGGGACAGCTCGTCGACGGTGAGGAGATTGTCGGCGGATAGGTTGGTCGTGGCCCAGAGCGCGAGCTCGGCGCCGCCCTGGCCATCGGAGAGAGCAGCGCGAACCTCGTGAGAGTCCATGACCAGGCCATGCGACGCGACCGCTTCGATGAGGAGCGACTCTGCCTCGGAGTGGGCACTCATTATTTGCCCGTTCTATAGTTTTGATCTCTACAGCAGAGCAGCGCGGCTTGCGAGATGGTGTGTTGAACGAGCGATGTGGTGGACAACGACGGTGCTGTTCTGTTCCTGCAGAATGGGTGCGCTGGGGTTTGTCGATGCTGGAATCTCGCACCGCCAGTTCGACAGCTGCACCACCTCTGGGCTTGCTCAACGCAGGTAGTTACCTCGACGCAGGGGACGCTACACAGAGCTTGAATATGTAGGTTTGCGCAGCGCAAAGCAAATGGTTCGATGCAAGACATGGGATGGCAAGAGGGAAACAGGCGGACAACATCGGTAGTTGAGGTGGGGCTTTGGTACGTCCCGATGACCAGGAACGGCGACCAGAAAACAATGACTATGAATGCGGCATGTAGAATTCCAATTACGTCTACTCTAAAAGACCGATTGGTCATGGGTAGGGCCGAAGTTGGACCTTTGCCAAGTTTACCGTGGCTGCTGGCATGCATCGATCATTGTGTCGTAGTGCGTCATGTTTGCTACCCGTCGGTAGATGCCATGTTACCCGTCGGCGCAGTTACTCTGGTGCAGGAAGACCGGTTCAAAATAGTCTGCAGACTGGTTGACTGTGTCTCGAATGGAAACACAGCAGCGCATTAACTTGATCTTGATTGTGGTGGTCAGTGCCGTTGGAGGGGTCCGGGTGAGCTTTCGCGGCGGCCCGGGATAGCTTCACGTCGGGGTAATTGCAGACAGACTCCACGAAATCTGTTGCAAATCGCAACTTCGGCCCGAGTTGTCTCCTGTAGCTGTAGTTAGTCCCTGCTACTTGCTCGCTCTATACATCCTGAACTAGGTTTTCAACTCGCAAACGGCCATGATAAACTTTTCAAACGCATGCTTGACTAAACAGGCACATGTAGCGATCCAGCGACCCTTTGTCTCTTGCCTACTCTTCTCAATTTTTCCCCAAATGGATCGCTCGACGGCCTACTTCAAAGCTTCCTCCCCGCATCAAACACCCACGTCGGGTCATCTCGTACAAGTACATAATGCCAAACCGCTCCCTGACCCTCCCGTCACGCTGCTCCTTCAGCGCCCTCGGTTACCTGACGCCCTTTTGCTTCCCTTTACTTCGAAACAAAAAACATAGCAAGCACAACCTTCTCACACTCTTTCAATTTGCCCTTTTCCTGTGTCTGTGCGACACCTTCGTCCGATCCCCTCCCTCCATCTTGTCAACTACTCGGTGTGCGACTCCAACCCGTTTGTCAGCGACGACTGACACCCAAGGGGTATCTGGCAACTATTAAGAGGAGCTACTATCGCCGGCAATTTATCTGACTCTTGTTTCTCACTGCTGCAATTTTCCTCATTTTTCAACAATTCGTCTTCAATTTCACTGGCGGGTCAAGACGGTTACCATGCGGTCCCACCTGCCCTCGCTTCGCCTCGCGTGCTGGCCACACGAGCAAAAACACCACAAGCAGTGTACTGATCCCTCCATCATAATGGAAGAGAGTACACTACTTCGTCTTCGAGACAGGCGGCAAAAGATGTGGCGGGGCTTCTGTGGCATCCTGTGGATTGCGTTCATCTACCTCGTCAGCGAGCTGCTGATATGGGGTCTAAGTCGGGCCCTCACAAAAGTAAAACTCGAATTCATCGCCTCCGTCTTGGGCATGCTTCTGGTATTTACAGTCATGTTGGTTCTGCGTGCCATTACCCCCAAGGTTAACGAGTGGTACGAGAAACACGTCAAAAATGCGGTATGTGGAATACGGCCCGTACAGACTAGACCTGGCTGACTCTCCCAGGTCGACTTCATCAACCGCCACATGGGCGTGGCTTTTGCGATCCCCATGGTTATGCTCACTGGAACTTATTCCGTGGATGTCAAGACCATTGGCGTGGTAGTTGGAATCTTTCGTGAGAAATCTCACCCTCTAGTAACGAGGTCAATCGCTAACTTTGTCCAGTGGCGAACTCACTTGCTGTATGGGTCACTGTCTTTGTGATTGCAAAATTTACCCATATCATCATTACAAAATTATTTGACCAGTTTCGCCAATCTACCACGCCAGGACCTGGTGCGATATCGACTGAAAAGGACACCAGTTGCAGTGCCGTTTGCAGTCCCAGATGTACCAGCAGTTTCAGCGCCAGTTGCAACACAGCCTCCAGCCAAGAGTCCAACCTATTCAGCACTGACTTCTTGGAGACTTCTGTACGCCAGCCTGCAATTTGGAACTGGATTTCCAAGTTCTGGCCGCTCATTACATCCTTCACTTTCCTGGTCGCCGTTGGCCTGCCTCTCGCTGCGGTTCTCAAAGAGCCTCGCATCATCGACGGCTGCGCTCTGTGGTTTATATGGATGGCCTGCGTCACTCTCCAGAGAGATTTGAAGAAGCGTTCAAAGCTCAATCACCGAAAACCTTGGGTTTTCCCAATTCTGGCCACGCTGGTAAATCCCGTCATGTTGACGATTCTTCTCATGACGGCCTACGTCCGCATCAAGGCCTATTCTTCCTCCATGACAATCTCGGACGTACTCTACAAACTCAGCAGCGGTACCCAGTTATACACAATATGGTCGCTTGGCGTTGAACAAAACCCGGCCTTTGCATTTGAGTGGTTTGGCGCCGGCGACGCCGCTCTATCCATGCTTGGCTGCGGCTTCGTTGTCTGGGGCTTCAAGCTGTATGAATGCCGCCACCAGCTCTTCAGCGCATCGGGTATTGTCGCCATTTTAGTAAGTGTCGCTGCCGCCGCTGGAAATGTGTTCCTGGCCGCGTATCTGGGTTCCCTCATGGGCCTCGAGTCACCTGAAGCGCTGGCATTGGCGGCGCGCATGACTACCCTGGCTCTGGCAATTCCTGTCATGAAGAATGTTGGTGGCAACGCCAGCCTCACAGTTGTTCTGATGATTACAAACGGTATTTTGGGCCAGTTGATGTACCCGAAATCGCTCAATGGCACCAGAACGGACAACATTCATCGGCATAGAAATGCATCTACGCACAGCTTCGGCTCCGCCGAGACAATCGTACCGAGCGCCACCGAATCGCATGGAACTCTGGATGAGGAATCGGACAGCTCCAATACGGTGGCTGCGGGGATTGCAATTGGCATAAACGGTGCGGCCATGGGTGTGGCGTACCTGTACGAGCACGAGTCCCGGTCGGCTCCGTACGCTACACTGTCCATGACCACATACGGCGTCGCGACGGTCGTCTTCATCGGGGTGCACCCTTTCAAGGAGGCTTTACTAAGCCTAGTTTGAACCAACAAGCTTCAGCTGCGTATTTTTATATAATGTGTGTATATATTTTACTTTCAACAGAGGTGTTGCTTTAAAGATGAAAGGTTTTGCTACTACCACTTGTGGGTCGATATTCGCAGGTTACATTAAAAATGGAAGAGAAATCTAAAAAGTTTATGCCTTCCTTGTGAAAATCTACTCAAGTGTTAGTGAGGCTGAGAGTGATGGGTTCGAGTACTTGATAGTGGTGGATGGCTCGCAAAGACGAAGTACTTGGATCCGTGCTAATCGCAATACTCTCAAGGCATGTGACGGGGAGACGTGATATGAACAAAGAATCGAGCAAAGGAATTGGCGGGCCTGGCACGAAATGACGCATTCACAAGCACAAAGACAGACGTGTAGGATAGAAGGAGCCGAAATGTACAAATGCATTCCATGGACAGCTGGCAGTGTTATTCACGGTATTTCGAAGCGGCTATTTGAACCAACCACGGAGCCTCATTTGTTTTCGTCAACTAGATGGATTACAGTTGATCATTACATATAAATCACTCGAGCCTATTCTTGTCAGCAGCGGTCCGCGCAACACACACGGGGGTCAGAGCAGCGTACCTCTCAATCAGGTGCAGTCCGCTGGCCGTCTCGATGATGCTGCTCATCTCGCCGGGCTTGAGGGCAAACGAGGCGTCCTCAAACTCCTTTTGCATCTCGCCGCGGCCAAAGTAGCCGAGGTCGCCGCGCTTGCGTGCCGAGGAGCAGTCGGACTCGGTGGGGGCGAGGTCGCCGAGGGTGATGGCGCCGGAGCGAATCTTTTGCTCGTGAGCCTTGATGATTTCCATGGCCTCGTCTTTGGAGCGGGTGATGTCGGCCTGTTGAGCGGGAGAGGGGGGGAAGGGGCATATGTGTCAGTTCATAACCCAGCACAACTGCCTTGACGGGGACGCACCTCGCGCCAGCTGCTGGCCCGCCGGCTGTCGCGGTGCTTGACGAGCAGGTGGGCGGTGCGAATCTTGCCCTCGGGGACAGAGGGCACGGCGCCGGGCCGCTGGCCGGCGCTGTGGTGGCTGGCCATGTAGTGCTTGAGCTTGTCGCTGTCGGTGCCGGCGGGCGGCTCCCAGCGCGAGACCTTGTCGGCGGCGTTGAAGTAGTAGGGCAGGCCCTTGGAGTTGGAGTGGCGCACTTCCCAGTTGGGAGGGAGACCGGTGTCAGCCTACGGTGTGTGTGTGCGGGTTAGCGTTGTGCGCGTGGCAAAGCTCCATGGGTGAAGGCGGGAGAAGCGCCGCGTTGCGCTGCGCATTGAGGGGGTGTGTACCATGGTGATGGTCGTGTGACGGGGGGAATTGGCGACGCGTTCGCGGAGGTGAATTGAATGGAATGGGATTGAGTGTGGGGGGATGTGAAGCTGCACGATTTGTGAGGCGCGTTCGTTATCCGCGCAGAAAAGCTTCGTTTGGGGTGCGAGGAGGAAAGTCTCTTTTTTTTTTGCGTTTGGCGCGGCGGCTGAAAATGACGTCTGCTGCAAAGCAACCCCGACCCGACAAGACAACAAGGGAGAACGAGGAATTTAGGTGTGGTTACCCCACGTTTCCAGCTGCGGGGCGGCAGAGGACGGGCGAACTTGGCTGGCACACGCTGATTGGGCCAGCTGGTGCGGAAGAACCAAGGGACGGGAGAAGGGGCGCTGCGGAGGAAAACCTTGTTTGCGATGAAAGATGGAGTTGTTGATCATGCCATTGTTTTTTCTGCCGGCTTTTTTTCCTCGACGGCAATGATGGCTTCGTTGTGCTCTGCCATGTACATTTGGGAGAGAGAGACAGTACCAAGCACTGACTGATCCGCAGCGTCAATCAGTGGCTCGCTGCAGTGGACGACCCCACTGGTTGTAGCCAGCCTGTCGGCCGCAGAAACCCTGATTTTCAGGCGCCGCATCAGCGCATCTGCCATTGGCTACTACATTTAGTAGTAGGTACCTGCCAAATCGCGAGCACTGAGTCACTGGAAGTATGGCCCGTACATCCTCAGAAGGCTATCAAAATAGAGTCATAGGTGTCATCATTCTAGACTGTGACTTTACGCATGCTATGTTAGAAATCTACCAAGTACACTTTCCATTTCTATAGCACTACCATCCATAGACGCAGTGCTGACTCATCCACTTGTGGCAAACCCGACACGCTAAACGCCAAAACCTTACCGCCCGGCCGCCGCTTTTTATTCTGGACGGAAATTGACTTCGGCACCTGCGTATATAACACCAGCGCCCACATCCTCATCCTAACCATCCCACACATCAGCTATTCATCAACACTCAACATTCTAGGCAGCTTTTCTCGTCTCGATTTCGGTACCGCGTAACAGACATTCGCAACGCACACACACAACACGCACACCATGGCCACGCCTCAATCTACGACATCCTACCAGGGCGCCGAGCCCGCCGAGGCCAAGACGCTCGAGCAAATCACGTTTCGCTTCTGCTCCGAGTGCTCCAACATGCTGTATCCCAAGGAAGACGAGGAGGCGCACAAGCTGCAATTCACCTGCCGCACCTGCCAGTACACCGAGGACGCCCGCTCCACATGTGTCTTCCGCAATATTCTCAACAACTCGGCCGGCGAGACGGCCGGCGTCACCCAAGACGTCGGCGCCGATCCTACGGTTAGTGACCACGACGCCCTTCCAGTTTGCCTCCACTGCGGCATTGCCATCACGTGCAACACGTGCGATGCCGTAAGCCCCGACTATACGGTGACCACAGTGCCCCGCGAGCAGAACGCGGATTACATGGCGGCGTTTGCTTCCAATGTTGGCTGGACCGAGGAGGACCTCTTCGACGAGTTTGGCGATGAGGCTGTGATGGACTTTGGAGATGGGGTCCGTTCGTCGTCGCCATCGACAGACAGCGAACGTCAATCGGCATAGAAGCGGCTGACGCGTCTCTCGACAACCACCACCCACGCACAAGCGCACGACTCATGACACGATACCCTTTTACAAATCATTTCTTGTTGCAACCTCTTTGTCACGGCACCTGTTTTTTTCCCCGAAAGAGATACCCGCTTTTCAGTCACTGCACTGCACAGCCTCTATTATTTGTGTGAACCCAGCTGGCTAACTGGCATTCTTTACCCACGCTATAGCTTCCTCGCTCGAACAAGACTTGCCCTCGCTGCAACCACGAGGAGGCCGTCTTCTTCCAATCTCAGCAGCGTAGCGCTGAAACTGGCATGGTAAGCCACCGTCTCCCTTGTCGCCTCGCCCCCCAGCAGGGTTCTCTGTGTTGACAATGTTGAAAAGAAACTGTTCTATGTTTGCTGCCAATGCGGTCAAATCTTTACCTGAATAGCGCATTGTTGTTGCTTCCTGTTGCATTGTTATACACGACTCCTGTACGAGATACCCACGACATGGCATGGGGAAACCAGTGGTGAGAAGAGAACAAGCTCTTGGGCGTTTGTGATTTCCATTAGAGGGCAGACTGGAGCTAGGAGTTTTGGTTTATGTTAGTAAGGGGGGACATGTGCAGCGTCATAGATGCGCATTAGGCCCTTCTGCAATTGTGTTACAAGTTATATGAATACATGTCGTTTATTGTTACCCTCTTCAACACCTCCGTACATAAGCGTCAAGTCTGCCTCGGGCTGCACAAGATTCGTAATGCAGCGGTTATAAAAGGGGATTGTGCGAGCGTAGACATGTCGGGCGGCGGATAGGGGGGGGCTGCCACGGACTCGTTTGGGGCCAAGCCAAGCGATCAACAGACGGATGTTCCTGTATTCTGCCGCCCATAACGCAGCTCACCGCTTTGTATATGTGAGGGAGGCTTGAAGGTCATTCACTTGCACGATGACGCGAGGCCTTGTTTGAACGAGTATGACGGGTTGAAAGAAGACGTATTTTTTTAAGAAAGATTTATGTTAGTTTGATACATTGAATGCATTGAATACACGTCCCCTTTCGTGATTATTTTATCAAGTTGCTCGTAGACACCGACATGAAGCACACAGAAAGTAGGGTTGTACTGGCAGAGATAAAGTAGAGTAAATCGTAAAATTGTAAAAGGAGATGGCCATTTCACCAGGCTCCCTCTTGTCAAACGCCGCGCAGAAATGCCACAGGTAGTTGTACAGTATTCTTGTCCCGGGATATAATACATAGATTGTCGGTCCCTTGGCCTCACCATCCGCTGCCGCCACACCCCATCAACAGGGACATCCGACACCTTACGCCTGCATCGGCGCCATGGAGAGAATCTTGCTCCACTTCTTGCGTCTCAGCTCGGCGCCGACGACGCCGTTGATGCGGGAGCCGACGGGGTCGCCGGCCTTGTTGAGCAGCACGCAGGCGTTGTCGTCGAAGCGCACGACGGACCCGTCGCGGCGCTGCGTCGGGTACTTGGTGCGCACCACCACGGCGTGCCGCATGTCCCCGCGCTTCACCTTGGCCGCGTTGGACACGCCCGACATGCCGGACGAGGAGGCGGTGCGGTGCTCCTGCACGACGACGACGATGCGATCACCTAGGGAGGGGTTAGCAGTCCGTGGCTCAATTTCGGGTTCGCATGTTGTTGGCCCAACGCGTGGCAAGGGCTGCTCGGCTTTGTAGGGTGGGCTCGTACCGATTCTGGCGTGGCGTTTTTGGCCGACGACGAGGACGCATTCGACGAGGGCCGCGCCCGAGTTGTCGATGCAGTTGAGGATGGTCTGTTCTAACCCGTCAGAACTGTTTCCGAGCAATGGGCTTGGAGAAAATAAGCTGGTGGCGCATTGGCACACTCACCTTTAATTGAATCATGCTGGGTGGTACGTGTCAAGACCAAATGTTTTTCCGCGCGCTGAGTCGGTTCTCGTGAGCTCCCTGTCGACAAGCTCTCATGACTTTTTGGCGGTGGTGTAGTTTTTCCACAATTCCATTGGCCAGGTGTCACGTGCGGCCGGGCACTCCAAGCAAAGGCGTGTGGGGTGTCACTGTTGGTTTTACCCCAGTAACCTAGCACCTACCTATGTACGGATAGTTGCCCAGCGAGTTCCGTGTCACGAGAAGTGCGGGAACAGTTGAGAAACAACTAGTTACGGGATTGATTCACTCCGTCAGAGAATTAAATTTGAGATTGCAAAGTTTTATCCTTTGGGTGGGCTTGGTCATCGCTACCCTTTGACTGAGTTGGCGTACCAGAATGCGCCTGCCAGCGAAAATGGCGATTGAAATGTGGGAGTTGTCTAGAATTCAGCTGTTATGAACGGAATCCCCCAGGAAAATGTACGATATGTGCAGTTTCTCCTAATTGCTAGGCTGTAAAGGACACTACTCAAAGCCTAGGGTGATTGTTCCGCATAAAAGTGGCCATGTTTCCAGCCACGGCATTACGGCCAAGTGTCTCAGCATCAGCTTGTCGAACAGAGATGAAGCATTTCACTGTGCAAATCTCATGTGCTTCTGGTTGTTCGATATTTGTTCTTCTTTTTTTCCCCTCGTCTTTTGAACCCCTGTTTCCCTTTGCCAGTTGCTAACGTTGCCTAGCTACCTAGGTACCAGGTTCCTGTCAGTAAAAGTAGGGTATTGAATCCTCGTACCGCGAGCTGGCCAGCCAGTAATTTACGAGAAACGACTGTAAGCGCCTGTGTCGCCTGGAATTCCAATACTTTAGGTAGTGATACTTTCATCACGTCCAGACCGCGAACAAGGCCGACTTACACGGAGCGCGTCATCTCGAACGACCCCCAGCCCCTCTATTAGTTGATGCGGCCGCTAAGGGTGGGATGGCTGCCGCTGTAATAGTAGTGTTCCTGCAAAGAGCGCTCGAGCGCTCGAGTCTGCTGTATTCGATTGTGCCCTGGATGAGAGGGTTTGTCAACATATTCTACGATAATTGGAGGAAGCACGATCTAAGAGCAGTCGCAAAGATAACCTTGGTCCTAACCATAAGTTCTGCCATAAAATCAATTCCTCCAGCCCTCTGTCAGTCTGCCTGGCAATTAACGCCGTCGCCCTGCCAGCGGAATTGACCAGGGCGCGACTGCGGGTCTAGTCTCTCTCCCCTCGTCACCAGCTTCCCGCTTTCACTTTCCACCTCCCACTTCCCTCCCGGTTCAGCGTCGCGCGAGCCTTCTTTCCTTTACATTGCCTCGCCTCACTACGTCGCACTCGCCAGGCCGTCCCTCGCACAATACTCCCTACCTGGGCCGCCAATATTTAATACCTGAATTTCTGTCTCTTCCGCTTGTCTTTTCTGTACCTTTCGTTGTGTCGACGTCGCCCTACGCCCGTCTATTCGCTCCTTGCGTCTCGTTCGCGCCTTCACCAGTTTCGCCATCTTTTCCCTCAATTGGCCACGAATATTGCCGCCCAACTTCTCACCTTTTGCTCTGTCCTTTTCTACCTGCGTGTTTGGACCTGGCCCGTCTCCCAGTCTTTAATCTTACATGCAATCATTACTCCTGAGCGGATATGCCTCCTTCAAAGAAGGTTGCCCCCAACCCCAAACGCCACGTCCTGACGCTGGCTCAACTCTCTGCCTACGATGATATCCTAACAGACGCTCTTGTCGACCATGTACGTCTTGCTCGCCAGCTACTGCGACGGTCACTAACCATCCAAGGTGTACTACTGGACCACCATCCCCAAAAACCGACCGTCCTATCACCCGTCCCGCGGCGTGGTAGAAGGCACAATCGCCAAGATTCTCCAAGATGAAGTTGTCCTCAACAAGAACCCAGCGGACGCCGAGGCAAAACTCCTAGCCACGGACGGACTACGCAGATTCTCTGCTGCGCTCAAAACCGACAAGGAGAGGGACGACTTTCGCCGCCATTTACGACGCTACATCAACATTTACCTCCCTGACTGCCCATGGGAGGTTAATTCTACGAACCGATACACCATTGTCACCCACGAAGCCAGCATCACCGCACGACGACCTATTCGCCGCAACGAAAGCATCAAGTATCTCTCTGGCATGAAGGTGCACATCACACCCGAGGAAGAAGACTTGATTTCCAACCGTAAAAAAGACTTTAGCATCGTCGTGAGCTCTCGAAGCAAATCCACCAGCCTGTTTATGGGGCCTGCCCGGTTCGCAAATCATGACTGCAACGCAAACGCCGCTCTCATGACGACGAGTCAGGCCGGTATTGAGATTGTTGCCATGCGCAACATTGCCGTTGGTGAGGAAATCACGGTTACCTACGGTGACAATTATTTTGGCCAAGATAATTGCGAGTGTCTCTGCAAAACCTGCGAGGATGAGCGCAAAAATGGCTGGCAGAACGCGCAAGGCAAGCCAACTGTCAAGACGGTGGATGAAGAGGGCAAGACGGAGGCATATGTGCTGCGGACACGGCGACGTGATGACAGCATATGCGCTTCCTCTCGAACGCCCTCGGTAACCCCGACCATGCGACCAAAGATTCGCAAGACTCGGACCGCCTCGCGACTGCAGCATGATGGGTCCGCGGATTCATCGGCACCCTCACCCGCACCAGAACTGACGCCGCGAACGGCCAAGCGTAGCTTTGATGCCATGGCTACGCCGCCAGTAACGCCGGCCAAGAAGCTGCAGCACACTGTCGAGCTTGTCGACGCTGCCCGGGATGCTTCTCGAGGTAGCTCTGTAAGCGATAGCTTTGGGTCGAGTCAAGATGGACCTCTGGAAACCGACGTCTCGTCCCCTGAACCTTCTTCAGACAAACCCAGCGCATTGGCTGGTCCTCTGTCACCCGACTCGTCACAGGGGGCTCCGTCACCACAAAAGATGGACTCGGACCCTACCTGTATTTCTGTCCAGCTCTTGGAAGACGACGCCCAAGACAGCATTACAGTGAGTATCGAGCCCGCAGATGATTCAGAAAAGACCGATGCGTCACGCCCTCCTAAGCGCAAGTACCAGCGCAGGGTGTACAGGGAACAGACGCCGCCTGTGAGACAAAGGGCGCATGGCGACTACGTGCTCACGCCCCTGTTGCTGTCGGAGCCTGCCAGCGCCTGGATCCAGTGCGGAACGTGCAGCACACCATTTGTGCAACAAAATGCGTACTTTACGCGCGCAGCCTGCCCACGCTGCGAACGACACTCCAAAATGTACGGCTACATATGGCCAAAGACAGACAAGGAGGGTCCTTGGGACAAGGAAGAGCGTGTGCTTGACCACAGGACTGTGCATCGCTTCTTGGATACATACGAGGAGAAGCGGGCTCGGGGGCGAAAGGTTGGCTCTGAGCCAAGAGAGACGGAGGAAGAGGTGCCGTCGCGCGGTCGCACTCTGAAGCGCAAGCCCTTGACCAAGCCGGCTGCGAAACCCAAGGCTGTACCCAAAAGAGGCGGTGGATTTCGTCGAAGCGGGCGCACTCGGACGGTGAGCAGAAAGCTAGTTGTGGAATAAGGCGGGAACGTGGCATGAAGGAAGGTAGGGAATGATTTTGGAGTTCTAACATGTACAGCGAGCGGGTAATCATGACGGTTTAGAAATGGCTGCCATGTAAAGTATAAAGACATTAAAGCATTGAATTGAGTATTGACATGAAGCATCTGGATGTGAAGACGCAGGTGGTGTTGCCAAATTCGGCTACCAGTGGGAATGGAATGTATGAAGACGAGTAAAAGTTGAGATGACAGATATGTTGTACACGTCTTGTGATGATATCAAGATTGCGCTGTTTATGAATACAAACTACCTATGTTCATAATGCTTCCTTTTTGTACTCTAGATCCTAGTTTCTATAGCTTTAATTACGGCTAGATTATTTCAGGGGGTAGACTGTAAGCTGTAAGTGCTGGCTAGAAGCCACCTGCGGGGTCAGCCGCCAGGTACGTGGTGCTCAGGAGGTCAAAGTTGATCCTGCTATACCTCTCTACCTCTGCGCGAACTCAGCCAAGATGCCATCCGACGCTGTCGTTAGAGCGTCCAACGTTGTCGCTGAAGCGTCCGACGCCCTAGCGAATGCCATTGACAAAGAGGAAAATGTGTTATTTTCGATGCGTTACCCGGAGCTCCAAAAGCAATTTTACGCGTCGATCCTTGAGCAAACCGTCGAGCTGGAGGATATGATTTGCAGATTGCTTCAGGTTCAAACGTGCAAGATTCATAGACAACCCAGAGCATGGATGCATGGCAGTTTCAACGTTGCCATTATTGTGTGGCTACCATCTGGTAAAGCTGCTTACTTACGGCTTCCATTTTCACACCGCATCGGAGAAGGCCCGTTTCCAGGCAACCTGGAGGAAAAGATTCGTACAGAAACCGCCACCTATCTCTGGCTACAGGAGCACTGCCCGGATGTACCAATTCCTACGCTGTATGCTTTTGGACTGCCGGATGGCTCAATAGTATGTCTACGGTCAACTATCGACATAGTGGCTCTCCTTAGCTAACTCTTCCCTTTAGCATACACGTCCTCAAAATACTACTTGGTGGCGTAGAGCTTGGACACGACTCCGCCGGATCTTTGCATGTCTTCTTGGCTACCCTGCCCCGATACAATATTCGCGCCATGCGACTCGTCATAGCCTTGCTTCTGGGTTTCTCCTCATGAGTGAGGCGGAAGGGGAAAGTCTCGCCTTGTCTTGGCCTAAATATTGTCATGATAAGAGCCGTAGAGCGAATCTATTCCGCGGATTAGCACGCATCAGTTTGTCCATGAACTCGATACCCCAACCTCGACTCGGCTCATTTTCATTCCAGGACGGCAATAGCAACAGCATTGGTCTCTGCAATAGACCGCTAAATCTGTATATGCATATGCTAGAGAATGAGGGGATCTTTTCAGGAATACCTCGTGGGCGCACGTACGTTGAAGTGGAACCATACATCTCAGACCTGCTCTCCTTGCAAGATTTCAGGCTAAAGAAACAGCCAAATGCGATCTTTGACGAGGAGGATGGCCAACGCCAATTAGCAGCGGGTGCTGGGATGCGAGCCATTATGCATCACTTCATTAACCCCGATACCCGCCAAGGGCCATTCTATGTCACGCTGAACGACTTGAGTCAAAATAACATATTTGTCGATGAGCAATGGAATGTCCGATGTATTATCGATCTCGAATGGACCCATACCTTACCTGCCGAGATGCAGGCCCCTCCATACTGGCTTACATCGAAGTCTGTCGATGGGTTTGACGATCGCGAGGACGTTGATGAGTACGAACAAGTTCTGACTGAATACATTTCCATCTACAGCGAGGAGGAGATGCAACGGAACGGCTCAAACAAGCAGGCGGCAACACAGCTCAAATCGTGGGAAAATGGCAGCTTCTGGTACTTCAAGGCCGCAACGATACCCAGGGGCGCTTACAACATATTCAACAGCAACGTCCAGCCTATTTTCAACAAAAATCACCCCAATCAGTCCATTTTTGATAAAGTGTTCTTTTTCTACTGGGGACAGCAAGCGTCGAGCTTTGTGAAGAAGAAAGTGGATGAGAGAAATGACTACATACAGGATCTCAAGGAGGCCTTTGCTCAAGATGAGCTATGTTTCAATAGAGAATGAACTCTCTGTATTGATAACGTCAATCTTGTCAATATTTCCTTTGAGCATGACCAGCGTCAGGCGCTAAATGATTCGAGTGGAAACTGTTCACCTGCGTACAGACAGCTAAGGTCAAATTCATTGCCAGCAAGGAGTGGATCCCGCTTCTGCTGGTCCGGGACAAGTGTAATTTAACAGGCAAGCCGCTAGCGCGGGTGATTACTGGAATATATTACTGGAATACAATGTGCTACCAAATTGACAGGTACGCAGGTACATGGTACATGCCAGACGCGGAAAGAAAAATTGATGGGAATAGGATTCGGATGAGAAACAAGGGAACACGAGCATCCTTTTGGTGTTGGTCCATCTAGAAGAAGAAATTCCTGGGTGGTGTTGACGTGCATCTTTATTGATACCGCTCTCCACCAAGTATCGTGTACCTGTCAGCCAGCCCCTCATGTCCCAGCAAATTCTCCCCGTCATCCCGCCTGCGTCTCCAGCCCTACCAAACTACTCATGGCTAGACAGTGGGGATGCAAAATGGATCGTCTTCCTTCTTGATGAGAAATTCCAGCCACGGAGCGCCTCTTTGGGGGTTTGGGGCGGGCATTGACAGCCTTGTCTGCGGCTTCCCTGTCATTTTGCATTGTCGCCCGCTGCAAACACACAACCATGCCCTTTCAGCCGCCCCCCCGTCTCTTCTTCTTCACACTGGCATCCAACAAGACTATTTTTCTCTCTTCTCCTTTGCGCGCCTGTCGAACCATCATGACCGTCCGGCTCGCTCCCCTCACCATATTGCGACGCTCGACATCTAATATCTGATACCCGTCCTTTTGCTTGCTTTGCACCCCGCGACATCCCCGACCACCCGACACACACCGCATATGCGTGCCTTGCTCAGCGCGCCTCGACTCTTGTTTGCTTGATTTTAACTCGACCGATTTGCTCTCGAGCTTTTCCCTTGTTGGTCTCTGATCAAACACTCGTCTACATACACATACATACACACACGTCATCGACATGTCGCTGCTCGGCAAGCCCCCGCGACACTCGAGGTCACCGCCCGCCGTGGCTCGCGGCCTCCTGGGCAAGAGAGTCCGCCGCACCATCATCATCGCCCTCTGTGCCCTCGCCGGCTTCAGCCTGCTCAGAAGATCCATGCGCCCGGGCACGTCGTGGGAGAAGCCCTTTATCGCCCTCTGGCCCGACGTCAACGAGCCCTACCGCATCGTCACCACCAGTGACTTTCGCCCCGTCTCCATGTCGCCGCACAACAAGGACATGCAACAGCTGTGTCAAAGCTTTCCCAACCACATCCTTCAGAGCATCCAGCCTGTTCTCAAAACAGGCTACACCGACGACCCTGAACGTATGCCCGGCCAGTTTGACGGCGCCAGTGCCTGCTTCAAGCCCGGCGAGTTGCTCATCTTCTCTGATGCCCCCGCCAACATGTCGGGCCACGAGGTCATTGACATTCTCGCACTCTTGCCCGACACGTACCATAGCTTCCCCGAGTTTCAGCCTTACCTCGAGCAACGCCGCATGCTGGAAAACGGCTCCGCCGAGAAGCATCCTGAGATGCTTCAAAAAATCAACGGTTGGAAGCTCGACAGATTTAAATTCGTCCCTGCTGTGGAGCAAGCCTGGCTCATGAAGCCTGACCGTGACTTTTATGTCTTTTACGAGTCGGATACGTAAGTTTCTTTGCCAAGCTATCCCCGCTTTCCAGCCTGGTCAGCCTGCGCCAAGATCTGACAGCGGCTAACCTGACCGTATCCAGCTATGTCTTCTGGGACAACCTATTCCGCTTCCTCAAGACACTAGACCCCGAGGTACCCCTTTACATGGGATCTTCTACACCGGGGCGACGGGACAAGGTTCATTATGGCACCACGTTTGCCAACGGCGGCCCTGGCTACGTCCTCAGTCGTGCCGCCGTCAAACACCTGCTGCACCGCGAGACGGACAGGGCCGGCCGTTTCATCGGCCCCTCATTCACCGAAAAGTGGCGTTATCTCGTCAACGATGACGAACCCTGCGGCGACAACATCCTGGGTTATATCCTGTGGCTCTCTGGCATCGAAATGCAGGCTCTCTATCCCATGTTCACCCAGCACGTCTTCCACACGCTGCCCTTTGATTCGATGCGCTGGTGCTCTCCCATTTTCACCTTTCATAAGCCATCACCTGACCAAATGCGCGGCTTGGCTCGGTGGGAGTATGGCGCACGAAATAATTCGGTATGTCCCTGTGAGAACTAGTCTTGGTCTAGCTTTCTAACCTGTACTGCAGCATCCCGCCAGATACGCCGATGTCTGGGACTTTTACAAGGCTGGCTCCGAACCAAGGCGCGACAACTGGAGAAACAATGATGTGCTCGGCCGCAAAGCTTCCGCTTCTGGTATTAAGTCTGCCGAAGACTGCGAGGCGCACTGCCGCTCATTGCCCGAATGCCTTCAGTGGACGTGGCGAGGCAGCCCGACCCGGGAATGCTTCGTCGGCGAGGGCGTATTTTACTATGGCGAAAAGTGTCATTATTCCACAGCCGGCTGGTTGCCGGATCGCATTACTCAGTGGAAGGTCGATCACGAGTGCGAGGATACCTCTTGGCATGGCCCTAGCCGCACAAGAGTATATGTCCCGGGATGAAATGAAGAAGAAAGCACAAGTTGGAAAGTTAGTACCGGAGTCGCTGATATAATAGCGCAGCTGGCCATTTCCATCGTCGGCGCCAGAATACACTCGTTGCGCCAGAGCCGGCGAAGCCCACCAGGAAGGAGCCTGCACAAACTCAGGATATGGGCCACGAACAATATTGTACATGTATATTCCTATTAACAGCCTAGCACCTCACATAGTATGCAATGGCATGATGAATGATAGCACCTTGACTATTGGCTCCCCTGTACTTTTCATGCGTCACACACGTTCTCTGCAGGTATCTTGTTGTACGTACTCATTCCCGGCTACATGACATGGCTAGTATACGTATCGGAAGTATGGATTCTCCTTGTCTGTGAGATCCTGGAATGCGAGCTTGGCGGCCTCGGCCTCGTCGACTGGCATTGCATTCCGAGCATTGTTCTCGCGGCGCAGCACAAAGTACAGCACCAGCGATGCCACGATGCAAATGACATAACTTGGAGGCATTAGCACAAAGGTCCTGCAAAGTACGTCTCCCAGCAGAGAAAATCTTACCAAATAATCAGTCCTAGCCACAAGGCAGGGTAGTGCTGGGCCTTTGTCTCGGACCACACGAGCTGCGGGCCGACAATGTTGCCGACGCAGTAGGCGACAAAGATGGTGGCGGCCACGAAGCTCTTCTTGGTGTGGCCGGCGACGTTGGCCATGCCGAGGGTGATGATGAGGCTGGCGGTGGCGCCAAAGAAGCCGGTGAGGGAGTAGCCGACGACGGGGGCGGCGGCGTGGTGCGTCCAGGCGGACCGCCATATCAGAGCGCAGCCGGCAATGACGGGCAGGCAGGTGGCGACGAGCAAGAAGACGCGCATGTTGGCGAAGCGGCCGCCGAGATGTCCAACGGCGAGGATGCTGGCGAAGCTGATGCCGGCGAGCGGAAACTGCAGCAGGATGGACGGCAGCGTGCCCCAGCCAAACGTGGACACGATCAGCGGCCCGAACCCGCTCACGGCGCCGTTCATCGTGTAGCACGCGGCCATCATGACGAAGACGAGCCACACCTTGACGTCGCGCAGCGCCTCGCGCACCTGCGCCGGCTTGAACCGCGCGCACCGCACCCCCGTCTGCCCGGCGCGCAGCCGCTCCACGGCGACGAAGCGCTCCGCCGGCGTGAGGAACCACGCGTCGACGGGGGAGGTCGGGACGGCCCAGCACGCGAGGCCGAACAAGAAGGTGAGGGCGCCGGCGAGCAGGTAAATGTACTGCCAGCGGGCGAGCCCGCCGCCGCGCACCTGCGCGAAGCCGTAGTTGAGCCCGCCGCCGACGACGGTGAAGAGCGCGGTGGCGGAGAACCACCAGCCCTGGCGCAGGCCCTGCTCGGGCTGGGTGTAGTAGCCGCTGACGAGCGTCATAAACGCCGTCGGCACGACGCTCTCGACGACGCCGAGCGCGAAGCGCTGCGCGCACAGCCCGCGCCACGACGTCACGGCCGCCGTGAGCATGCACACGAGCGCCCACGCCACCACCACCCCGCCGAGCACGCGGCCCGGCGCGAACCGCTGCAGCGCAAACGTCAGCGGGTACAAGCCCGCGAGCATGCCAAAGTAGAAGAGCGACGTCGCCCAGCTGAGCCGCCGCGTGTCGCTGCGCACCCCGTCGGGCAGCGCGACGGCGAGCTGGAGGTCCGACGTCATGCCAAAGAGCACCGCCGAGCCGAGGATCGCCTTGTCGTAGTAGACGAGCCCGTACCCGAGAATCATGAACGGCATCAGGTACAGGTCGATCTTGCGGACGGCGCGCGCGGCGAGCACGGGGTCCACGGCGTGCGCGTGCGCGCCGACCATGGCGAGCGCGTCGTCGTGCGCGGCTGATGGCGCCGGAGAGGGGGATGGCGCTGCTTCCTTGTCCATTTTTTGGACAAGATGTTGTTGAGATGCGCTGCTTCTCGCTGAGGGAAGGAGGAAAGGATGGGATATATGTTCAGCTGCAAAAGCGGACGACGACGGCGCGTATGGATCGTATCTGGCGATCTCTGATGCTCTGCTTACGAGGCCATGGAGGAGGATGGAGTGGAAAAACGGAAAGAGCACAAATACAGCGCGATCGTTATTTTTTTAAGAAAAAAATTCAGTGTAAATTGCGACGAGGCATTAGATGGCACCTTGGTTGGGGGGCGATCCACTCAACCGATTCCACCAGCTGAAGATGCGATCGCCGCCCTGTTGGTGTTTAGATACAGGATTGGTGTATATGGATGTTTTTTTATCGATATTGGATGTACGAGATGCGAAGCGATACAGCTGGGGGTTGCATCAAGTACGTGGTGAATACGAAGTGCCGCCGACATCATCATGGCTGCAGGACTGCATCTTCATGGCGGCATGCGTCGGTCGTGATGCGGCATTTCTAGCCCCCCCGGTACGCCACGGCCAAGCATCACTGGGACTATTGATAGTTGATGCCGGTACGCCACGGTCGAGAATCCCAGAGACTATTGATAGTTGATACACAAAACGGGTTATTTTAGGCAGAGTCATAAACATCGTCTATACAATCCCTCGGTCTTCATCCAAGTCGATACACAAAACTGGTTATTTTTGGGCAAACTCATAAATCATGGTCTATACAATCCCTCCGTCTCATCTACACTCCTTCACCCGGCCGCCCGCACCGCGTCACAGCTTGGCCGGGCTCTCGTCCGGGTTCTTGAGCTCGACAATGAGCTTGCCCGTGTTGACGCCCTTGTAGAGGTCGACGAGGCCCTGCTCGGCGACGGCGAGCCCGCCGCGGAGCAGGTGGACGCTCGTCTTGAGGCGGCCCTGGTCGAGCAGGCGCGCGAGGTCGGCGCGCGCCTCGGGGTACTGCGCCCGGTGGTCGAGCACGATGAAGCCCTGCATCTTGATGCGCATCTGGATGATGCGCGTTATGTTGCGCGGGCCGACGGGCTGCGTCGCGTTGTACTGGCTGATGGCGCCGCACATGACGAAGCGCGAAAACTCCTTGGCCTGGCGGAGGGCGAGGTCGAGGATCTCGCCGCCGACTGGAAGCCTTGTTTTTAGCATTCTCTTCCCGGGGCGGGGGGTCTATCGTACTCACCATTATCAAAGTAGACGTCAATATGATCCTTGGTCGCCTCGAGAAACTGCGCCTTAAAGTCCGGATCCTTGTAGTCGAGCGCCTGGTCGAAGCCGAGCTCGTCCACCAGCCACTGGCACTTGTCGCGGCCGCCGGCGATGCCAACCACACGAGCGCCGCGGGCCTTGGCGACCTGGCCGGCGACGCTGCCGGTGGCGCCGGCCGCGCCCGAGACGACGACGAGCTCGCCGGGCTGGGGGTCGCCAATCTGCGTCATGCCGACCCAGGCCGTCATGCCCGTCAGGCCAAAGACGGAGAGGAGCTGCTGCGCGCTCTCGAGCGTCGCGGGGAAATTGGCCCGCGGCTCGTACCACCCGGCCCGGAGCACGGCGTACTGCTGCCACCCCGGCAGCCCGCTGACGAGCTCGCCGGGGCGCACGTCGGGGTTCTTGGAGGCGAGGACGCGGCAGGCGCCGGAGCCGCGCATGACGGCGCCGATTTCTACGGGGGGCAGGTAGGAGCGGTCATCTTTGGGGGGGTTAGTTGGGCGTTTTTTTTTTTTTTGGAGGGGGGCCATGGGTAGGCGACGCGCACCGTTGAGCCACCCGCGCATGGCGGGGTCGAGCGAGAGGTACAGCACTTCGACGAGGACATCGCCGTCGGCGAGGTCGGCTTCGGTGGGCGCGGGCGTGACGCGCTGGTGAAAGGTCTGGCCGGGGATGATTTCGCCGTGGGGGCGCTCGGCGAGGACGATTTGGAGGTTGTCGACGGGCATTGTTGGTGATGAGGCGTTGGGGATGCGCTAGGATGGGATCGTGTGATGGCAGAGGGAGAACTAAACAAGGCCGACGGAGATGGAATCGTCTAGTGGTGGGAGCAAGGTTATATATATAGTTATGACTACAATTGGGTTCAAGCTCTAGGGCGGGCGGAATATACAGTTTCGACACCCCTCCCCCCCTCCGGTGGCGCGCGGCCTGATTTGGCGCCTAGGCTTCGGGACAGCACTGCTTACGGAAAGAGGACCGGGATCGAAGAAACGGGAAACGCCTGGCTCCAAGTGTTTAAACCCCGTCGTCGTCGTCGCTCTCCAGGGTAGCTTGAACCGGAGGGCACCGCCATAGGGTTCCAATGTCATCCACAAGCCAACTCGGCTAGAAACCCGGGCCTCCAAGTACATCGTCGGCGATGAATGCGACTGAAATTTGTGTCCCGTTTGGAGAATGCGCGGCACTGTCTTGATCCCTGCACGACGCTCCATCAGAGACGGCGTTGATTATCAGTGGCAGAGTACAAGTGGAACCAGCCTCGGCACTCGACGGCGCATTTCTGGCTGCGGAGTTTGAACAGCAGAGAAAGAACTGGGCAACACGATGGGTTAGGGGTGTGGGATCAAAAAGGCATCGAGGAGACGAAAAAAAAGCCACATTACTAGCATGACTTCTCCCGGCCGAGTTTCCCAACTGAGCTTCTAGCACCGGGGCCCGGCCGGGGTTGCTAACTAGCTCCGGGGAGCCAAAAAGCCAAAAAGCCAAAAGGAACATATTAGTAGTTGACCAAAAGTCCGGGCCCCGTCCATGGAGGCATGTCATGGACTTTGTGGTCAAAGCGACGGGCGAAATAGTTCTATTAATAATGAAGCGAACCCTGCTATTACTATAAGTTGACCCTTTTCGAGCTTGCCAGCTTATGCCCGGAGCGCGCTTAGTCTCCTCTCCACCGATCTGCACATTTTAAGGGTGTGCGCAGAGCAGGGGTATTGAAAGCCGATTCGGATTGCTCAATCCGTTGGCGCGAATTACATTAACAAAGCAAAAGCAAAGCCATCCACTTGGCAAAGCCTCAGCGCCATCATGGCAACAACGTCGTGTTGCCCGCAGTCGTTGATTCTCGCTGACGTATAAGCCACGACACAGCCTTGCACAGCCACATCTCGTTTTTCATCACGCGAATCCCGGTCCTCCTCCTCAACTCCGACCTCACCTCTTGTCAGCCCCGTACCGCAGCTCATCAATCTACTTTTTTTTTCCCGGGCTTCAGACGAGACCCGTCGAGATGTCGAGCAGTTGCATCACACAGATGGGGACGGTCGAATCCCGGAGATGGTTGACTGGTGCCGTTCCCGTTTGCTGCGTGTACTGTAGTTGTCTAGAGAGGACGATGCAGGGGTGAGCGTGGCTGACATGCGAGTTGGCGCTGTTTTATTTTCCGTGTATAGGTTGCACGAGATCTCGTCTTGTTTGTGCTCCATGTCCAAGCTATCGACAGCGTCGGACAAGCTGACTCGACGGCAACACACGTAACGAAACCACGATACCCGGTGCTGACAACCCGCGGGATCCTATACTCAAGTTCCAACCGTACGCTTACAGAAGCCTATCAGAACCCCATACAGGAATAGAAGGACGCAACCTCCCCCATCATGGACGCTTGGTTCCGTACAAGGTCTGTCGGCTGCAAGTCGCTGATTGCTCACACCAAGGAAGCCCCGACAGGGTATGAATAAACCACGGGTTAGTAACACAGCATCATCTTTCTCACTCTTAGTATCATTTCATTCAAACAACAGTCTTTTATTCATCCATCCAAGCTATCTTTCTGCTAATCCTTTCACCATGGCCCCCTTGCGTGTACTTAGAAGGCCATGTCGCATCGCCAATCCTGGGGGCCCAGAGCCCACCGCTGAAGCCTCTTCGCCATGACAGAATCATGCTTGGGGGGAAATCGTTATTCCATCGTCGGCCAGCAGAAACAAGACATCCGTGCCAGGCCCAAGAACACCATCAAAGGCTAATCGGATCAGGTCAGCTCATCGGCCACTACCTGCAGGTCAAAGACGTCCGAGACGTCCGAGTCGTCCGAGACGGAAGGCGGTGGGCTGCCATTCCACTGACAGTCTGCCTGGCACTTCGGGCACGGGTATAGTTCTTTGGAAGGGATGATCTTGAGGACGTATGTGACCACTGGGCAGTCCGGCTTGCTGTTGCCGTCTTCGGGGCGCATGCCGTGCTTGACTAGGAGCCGATCAGGTTTGTTGTTGGTAAACTGTTGAAGGCAGCGCGCCTTGCGTTGACAGGTGTCTATTCTCGCAACGTGCCCGGGAGCGGTATCCTTCGACTCGCCCAGCTCCTCCACTTTATGCTTGCAGTGCCTGTCATTGCATAGGCAGTATACAACCTCGAGGAGGAATTTGCACATGTTGGTAGGCGAGTTTGTGTTGTGTTGCGGGAGGGGGGAATGTTGTAGAGAACACTACTCTTCTGGCGCTGTAGTGGTTGTTGTGTAAGGCATGTTCTTCTTGTTGAAAAAAGAGGTCTTGGTGCCGGGCTCTTATAATCCTGAGGAGAGGTGGCCAATATCATCATTACGCCTCGCCATGTACAGGCCGATTGTCGTACCATGCCGGGTGTATCGATGCCCAATACTGATCACACCACACCTTGAAGTGATCTTCCCGACGGTCAGTATCTGTACATTCCAGGTCGCCGGGACATTCTAGGAAGCGTGGACATTCGAGGTAGCCTGGACATTCTACGCTGCCTGGGCACTCTAGGCAACAGTCGTGTGAGATGCTGTGTAGCCAAGGTTTGGAATACACTGATGTCCTCTTTGTCCGGGTGTGACAGGGCGACGACTCTTGCCGCTATAGTTTCATGTAATTTGCTCTGCACTCATTTATCCCATGCAGTCACGGTGCCTTGGATTACACAACACCTGCAGAACAACACATCTCACGTTGGGCACTTCCATAGTCGGCGCCTGGGCAGATCCACGACGGAAAGCATGGCTGGTGCTCCATTTTGCACTCAGCTGTACTAGAATAGATAAAGTACAAAACAAGGATCGACTGGATGTAACCCTAGACTCTGGCCTCCCTATTGCTGTCAGTCTCACTCGGGTAGGCACGTTGCTTGGATGCGGAGCCGATGTAACAGAAGGAGCACGCAGCCTCTGCTTCACTGAAGATCTCTGGATAGCAGTCTTGGCTCGCCAAGCCTGGCTTGTATATCTTCGGATGTGGCAAAGCTATAGGGCATATTTACCTCGTAACACGGGTTGGACCAAGATAAGGGCATCCGGGCTTGGAGTAGCACACCCCTTCCATGTACCGGATCGGGAGTCACGCGAAGCAAGACTTTCTCGGGGGCCAAGTATCAATAGAGGAGGAAAGAAGCTGTCAGTGCAGGGGACACAAGATACGGTGCCTCTTTCTGCCTGAATTACCTCTATTGTGGTACATGGGCCGGCACGTAGTCTCATACACCCCCCCTGTTTGACAGCGGGTAGTATATCCTGTCCGACATCTATCACAGTATATACGACTTGATTGGGGTCCGGATGCGCGACGTGTACGACTCTCTTCTATGGTGTGTGTGTTGCATCGCAGCGAGCCCATCCCCCATCCCCAACAGATGCCGACTCGTACGTGCCGAATTTTACTCATCACAACGTACCCAAGCACGCAGCTAGAGCCCAACTTGCCAGGAAAGGAACTACGGCCGTGCTGCTAGCTGATAAAGCAAGCGAAGCCGGAAGTGCGCGTAGCTTCTCCCAAGTCGTAGAGGGGCGCCACGCCGCATCTCCTCCCGGGATCGGTTGCGAGCTGCGAGGCCACACTGGAAGCAGAGAGGGCCGTATCCGAGTTGATGAGCACGTGAAGGGAGCCAATGTAGACAAGTGGTGGCAGGTTTCTCAATAGGGACGTTCCGGCTCGGCTTCTGGGTGGCGGTGACGCAGAACACGGCGACATCGGTCATCGTGGTGTGATGCAAAGGCAGAGCGGCTTACGATGAACCTCGGCAGCACAGAAGAAACCTTGACAGTACAAAGAAGCCTTGACAGTACGAAGAAACCTCGACAGTACAAACGAACATACGAATTATACAAAACACATACGCTCAAAGCTACCGGGCACTCTCCAGTCGGCGTCTGGGCTGCCCGTGGCAAAGCGTCGGTCGAGACGCAGTTTTGCAACGCAAACATGCCAACAGAAGAGGATGTGAAGCCGTTTTGCAAATTCAATCGTTATGACTCCCCATCTGTCCCTGCTGGGCCTGTATAGGCTGGTCAAGGTTGGTGCGGCAACGAACGGCGCGGCGTTACAGAGTAAGCAGTTCTTTCAAAGACATGGAAATTTGGAGAGGAGAGTGTGATATGTGACAGAGTGTGACAGAGTGTCTTTTGCTAACGTCGGACCTTGCGTGCCGAACACGGGTTGGCAAAAAAGGAATTGCACGAGGCCACGAAAACCAACACTGGACGCGCCGTCGGCCGATTTTCCGATAGTCCACAGCCGCTCGAGACGAATTAACCGCCGCTTCTGGCTTATACGCTGCGTCTTCTAGACCAAAGGACTTGCATCAGTGACTCGAGAGTCACCGATAGAAGGAGAAATCGGGTCAGCAAAACTTGCATGGCTTTCTCAAGTATTGTCAAGTCTGTTTATGCACACATACTCTATCCTGCCCAGCGAGGCATCACGACGTATTCGAAAAGACGTTCCTAGAATCATGGCCCACTCCCAAATCCTTTCAACGCCAGCGGTACTTGGACATGGTATGAAGATACCCAACTCGCAAGGAACGACCGGTGCAAGATACACAACCACGACATGCATGAAGCTTCACATGTGGTCTCGTGAATCACCGCGATAATACACTGACGCAATCTCATTGACCCAGAAACTAATACATCAGAATATAGTCTACATCTTGTCATCCTGCCCCCCCATGTGACTTGTTTTGCTGCCGGGGCGCCCTGCACTGCCAACGACGACGACGAACCGGCCCAGCCGAGCATCGAACGGGCATCACGTGTATCAAACGCCCATGTCCGCCAGCATGAGACTGCCGCTTCCCAGCCCCAAAACCGCTTTTCAAGCCAAAGGGGCCGCCGCGATATTCGAATACGCCACCGCGCGCCGTTGGTGTGACGCAGCCCCCAGACTTGCGGCGCCGCAAAGTTGCCCGACTGGGGGGGGGGGGGGGACCCAAAGTGTCACAGGTTCGTTGGCGTCTGCATGCAATATCCGAACCGCATCATTGACGCGAACGGGATATATAGTTACCCTTTGCTGGTGGCCGGGCGGCGCCGGGGGGGGGGCGGCCTACCAGCGGGCTTTTTCCACGCGACCTCGTGGCCGAAATGTGCCCCTGTGCAACCCGCATTCATCCTTCTTCAAGCCAGCGTGTCAACTAGAACCATCCTCCAGTTCTGAATTGGTGTGCTTGCCAACGGGTTAAGGCCAAACTGTACTACCCGCACTCTTGCTCATCAACGCGGCTTGCATTCAGTCGAGCACAGGGAACCATCAGACCGATTCTTGGCTCACCCACAGCATGACTTTGCTCCTGCCATGTGATGGAAGTCGAGAGTAGAATCGAGAACCTATCAGTCTATCCCTTGCCCTAGTCCCATCGGGCCTGGCGATGATTGCTACGTGCGTGTCCTCCAACAGAGGGACGTTCTCATTCTTCCAGATCCCAAACAGGTATAAGTGCAGCGAAGCCGGCTCTTCTCCAAACGCGCAAAACATCTCACCACGAAAAAAACTCCCAAGAACAGCCCCCAAGCCAATTGAACAAAGCCCCTGCTGGCCCTCCTCACCATGCCCGACGACAAAACCACCACGACCAGCACCAGCACCACCACCGGTGCTACTACCGCCTCGACCGGCACCACCAGTACCACGACGACCACCACCGCCGCCGCATCGACAAACGCCTACACGTCGGACACGGCCGGTCTGCGGGAGATGGTGGTCAACAGAGACCCTGATCTGATGCGGTGCCTAGCCAAGGGAGAAAGGGACCGAGCCGCCCGGCTCCGCTGGTATGAAAAATCCCCCCCGCCGAGACAAAAGGGGCCGTCAGTGCTGCTGCTAACTTGCTCTTCCCTCTGTACAGAGTGTGATGCTTAGCATACTACGTTTTCTCAAGTCACATCGCGGCCTTGAGAAGAAGGGGGGGGGTTGCTCTCGAGGACGGGGTAGCGAGCAGGGCCGGACGCAGAAACACGCTGCGCACCAAATTGTAAATTAACAGGTCGTACAAATACACGACAGTGCGAAACCGTAAGCGAGAAGCCATGGTAAAAACGAGTGATACAGTGTTCGGTAGATGCATCAAAGCTGAGCCTGCTTTGCATGTCAAAAAAAGTTATAGTTTAGGTGGTAAGACGGACAAGATTGGCCAGGGTCATTTCTTTGGTATGCGACAATCTGGCCGCGCAGGCGAGATTCATTCAGTCCCAGAACAAGAATTAGCAGAGTTTTGACCACAGGCTACACAAAGGCGTGTACAGAAGCAGCATATGATCTAGAGCAGGCCAATTGGTTCGTCATGGACGGGCCTACTTGTACGACGGCAGGGTTTGTCTTTCGAAACAAGAAACAAGTCAAACTGCTAGCTTCATCCTGTGCCAGTTATTCGCCAGATTCCGGTACTTGTATTGTCAAAGAGCCTCGTTGTCACTCATCTCGGGCTCTTTCCCTCCATTTTATACATCCACTCATCACCAAGCTTCATCACATCCACGCCCCGATCCAAAACCTCCCATAGGCCAGAGATCTCAAGACCAATAGCCTACCTTTATTATCATTCTTCACGTGATACCCTGCTGCACCTGTTTTCCCTTATCTGCTGCATTGTCTCAAGACCTTCCCCTTCGCGACACGCCCCCTCCCCTTCCTCGCGGATCTTTCCGGGGAGGGGGGAAGAGATAAGGTGCCGAAGAGGGGAGGGGGGGGGAGGGGTGTCTGGTGTACCTGGCATGAAGGGGCATCAGAGAATGAGTTACAGGATAACGGATATCTCGGAATCGACCTGGATGCAACGTTGATCGACGGCCGTTGGGGTCCCAGAAACTCGGGACGCGGGCGGGCTGCTTGCTCGGGACGAGGCGAGTGGATCGACAACACCACCCATGACAACGAACCGATGGACAATCTCGATTGTGAAAATCGTCATGGAATCGAGTAAGCTTCAACAAATTTGCAGTCTTTGTGGCTCTGCAGATAAAAGGCGAGCAGTTGTCTGTCGTGCCCTTCTGTGCCCTGTTACGGCCGAGAAAACGACGCCATCGTGAGGGGACGCCAATGAATTTGATACAAGATACTATAATCATCATGATGAGAAAGACTATTAGGGCAAGAAAAGGTATTACAACGAGCAGAATTATTGCAAAAGAAAGCTTGTCGTGGCATCGTGGCAAGAATTCTTGTCGTGGCATCGTGGCAAGAATTCTCGTCGTGGCATCGTGGCAAGAATTCTCGTCAAGGCTCGCACGCGTATGCAGCAGGCTTCAAATTTATCATGGGCACGTCAAGTTGCCGAAATTGCATTGTATGCTATCTAATTTGCTCGCAGCGGCTTCAGCAAAAGCCGAGCGTCTGTGAATATCCCTAACCACAAAAGAGAAAATGAAGAACGCCAATTATCCAGATCATACGATCCTTGTAAAAACCACGCCATGTGAAAAACTATCCAGAACACGATAAATAAAAACAGACCATTACAGCTTGCCAAAGATGGACGTCATAAGAATCTTGGTGACGCGGTAAGGGTCGGCGTTGGAGGCGGGACGGCGATCCTCAAAGTAGCCGAAGCCCTGGGCGGCTGTCTCGCGAGGAATGCGGATAGAGCAGCCGCGGTTAGCGACGCCCCAGGTGAACTGGTCAATGGAGCCCGTCTCGTAGCTGCCGGTGAGGCGCTGCTCATTGTCCTCGCCGTACTCCTTGATGCACTCCTCGTGGTGAGGCTCGAGCTTCTTGAGAGCGGCCTCGATATGGGCCATGCCGCCCTCGACGCGCATCTCCTTGGTGGAGAAGTTGGAGTGCATGCCTGCACCGTTCCAGGCGCCTTTCACGGGCTTGGGGTGGAACGAGACCTTGACAGCAAATTCCTCGGCGACGCGGCTGAGGAAGAAGCGGGAGATCCAGAGCTGGTCGCCCATGGCGATGCCCTCAACAGGGCCGACCTGGAACTCCCACTGAGCGGGCATGACCTCGGCGTTGGTGCCCGAGATCTTGACGCCAGCGTAGAGGCAGGCCTTGTAGTGGGCCTCGACAATGTCGCGCATCACGACCTTGGAGGCGCCTACACCGCAGTAGTAGGGGCCCTGGGGAGCGGGGAAGCCGCCGGCGGGCCAGCCGTACGGGCGGTCATCGAGATCGAGGAGGGTGTACTCCTGCTCGAGACCGAACCAGGGCTCGTGCTCGGCGTACGTCTCCATGACCTTGGCGCACTCGTGGCGGAAGTTGAACTTGTTGGGGGTGCCATCGGGGTTCCAGCACTCGGCGAGCACAATGATGTTGGGGGTGCCACGGAAAGGGTCAGGGTAGACGGCGCAAGGGCGCAGGTAGACGTCCGAGTTATCACCGGGCGCCTGGTTGGTGGAAGAGCCGTCAAAGTTCCAGACGGGGAGGTCTTCAGGCTTGTAGCCGCCTTCAACCTCTTTCAGGGTCTGTAGATGACGACATTGGTTAGCGGGTCTGCTTGAAGAAAAGTGGCACATTGTAGTGAAAGAATTCATCGGAGAAAAATGGCATCGCGATGACGGGCTCCGTTGAGCCGGTGCTAAGAGAAATGCGCAAGCAAGGCATGCAGTTGGCGGCGTGTCGTAGCCATGACGCCAATGTGGCGGCCAATGCCTGCAGCGGCTGTTGCGGGGCAGCAGTTGAGTGTGGTGGTGAGGCTGGGGCTCGTCTATTCTGGTCGTGGCTGAGGCAACCACTTGACAAGTGTGGCTTGAGGCTCGCTGCAAAGCACCCAGGGCACCCACACTGCTCGCATGATAAAGCCCACTAGCGCCACTGGCACGCTGCATGCGGGACAAATCGGGCGGTGCGATAGACACAGACGCAGGTGCGTCGCAACCGCCGTTTGTGTTTGACACGATGGGGAGGATGGTGGTATTCGTGAAATTGAGGAAAGTAACGTACTCGGGACTTGGAACGGGTCTCGCCTGTTGAGTCGATCCAGACGTACTCGGCCATGATGCTGCCCTTCTGGTCGAGCTTCAGGTACTTGTTGAGCTGGGGTGAGTCAGCATGTGCGCACAGCGGGCATATAGATCGGGGCGGCGCGTACAATCTCCGTTCTGGAGGTGAAGGCAGTTCGGTCCGTCTGTAGAAAATCGTCTTGTTAGCGAATTGCTCTGCTCGCATGATGTATTTCCACTTCGCACGACCAAGCCTCGTGGCGGTTGGCGTGTTTGCAGGTCATGTTGGAATTCGACGTACCATGATGGCGGTTGTGTTTGTGTGTTTGTGTGATGCAAAGAAGACGAAACAAGAAGTGCGCGTATGGATATCTGTACCACGAGGGTATGAGGCGAGGATGGGTAGATTATATCAGAGCAAAAGCAAAAGAAAAATCCGGGGATGGAAAGTGGCGGGAGGATGGAGGGTTTTATCTTGTCTGCGCGCAGGACTGGATGAATGTTGCTTTGGGTAGCGCAAGAAGGTGCGCGGCGATCGAAAACCAAGGACCTGCGCCGCGGTGCCCGGCCCACCAAAGATAAGGCACAGGTGGAGGGTGCACACGCCCCCCCTCCGGCGACCAGGCGACGCCGCCGCGAACAGAAGCCACGCAGCACCTCGCCAAGGGACAACGAGACTGTTCCCGTCATGCTACTTAAAATTTTGATATTAATTTGTCCCAACGCTTTTGAAAGGTCGTCCCGTTTGGCGGCTCTTGGCACCGGCTTTCACCATCTTTTTTATTGCTCAAGACTATTGTTCAATTTGCCGTGACTGGACTTTTTATCCGCATTGTCGGGTTGGAGGGGTAGAGGGGGTGGGCTAGTGGGTTGTCTTGGTGGGGTATGGGGGAGACTCTGGGGGAGTGCGCAAAGACACCTGAATCATTGCCCATGTGCCTCCGGTTCTAGTGCATTTAGCACTCAAACTTCTGTCAAATTGCTCCCACAGGCCCTCCTTGTAGCGGCCGAGGTATCAGGCTCCAGGCGACGAGGCACCTGTAGGCTGCCCGAACGCCCGCTCCCCCATCCCCCTCAAGCAATCCCCCAGCCAATGCTCGCCCCCGGGCTCGCCGCGCTAGAAAACACAGGGACCCGAAAACCACCATCCCCAGGCCATTTCCTTATCAGCGGCCCCTCCAGAAACAAGCTTGCACCAGCAGATTCTCCGTCCTGGCTGTCAGCCGCTGCACAGGGGAGGCAAGGCGGTGGCTCATCAGGTACCATATCGCCTTTCTTCCCCGGGTACAAGGCGAGGTACCGACGACGAGTACCGCCGCACCCGGTCGCCGGCCCATCGGTACCCGGGTACAACACGTCCGGCCGTACAGAACAGCGGACACGTCCGCCTTTGTTCTCACAGATACTTTGACCAAAAATACGGAAGAGAAGGGGGGGCGTGCAAAAACTCGGAACACGCGATAAGGAAAGCAAAAAGGGCGGCCAATGATGACGACCAGGGAAGCTCCATTCAGGATACACGCGCAACTCGTTACGAACAAAGTCGCTTGTCGATACTCGGTAATCTGTACACAAGAGGAAAGAACAGTTACAAGATCCAGTTTGATATTTGTGCTCGACGTCACGGTTACGAGGGCAGCCTCGTGAAGCGAAAAAGGCGCCACAGGGCTGTGCTGTTATTTTTGGACGTCGGTAGGGCGCAGCAGAGCCACCACGGAGTAATACAGTGGGTGGTTCACACGCTACAGTGCATTATTTACAGCAGTCTCTCACACGACCAGGCTGAAGCCGCCACTTGCCGCCCCTCTGTAATCGTGCTCCGTATAATTTGTACTGTAGCTGTCAAACTGTATCCCTTTGTTCTTGGATTGAGACGGCGATTCCGAGTCCGATTCTGTCCATTTTTTTTTTCTTTTGATTTTCCTTCTTTCTTCCGAATCCATCTTCCAAGCGAAGCTCCATTCCTTCCATTTCCTCATCCGACGCAGAAGGAAAAAAAAAAAAGGGTTGTGCCGGATACCTGCGGAGCCGCACACTACACTGGGCTCGGCCGGACGCGTCCTTCTAGAACAAAGCCGCGACCCAGCCCAATCAAGACGCCAAAGCCCACTGTACGTGACAAATGGAAAAGCAAAAGTGCCGGTGTTATCCAGGGTTACTCATGCACAAGATTTTTCTTTTACAAAAAAGAATGTTTCGAAAATATGTACACTATAGGGCAGAAATTGGGTCAGCTGTCTTGAGGGATATAATTCTCCAGGATATACAGAATATTGGCTTGGGGCCGAGGACACGGGACGTCGCCCCGGCATGTATCGTGAGCAGCACTAAACGTGATGGCGCTGTCTAGGTACGAAACTAAACGCGCTGCTATTAAAATGCCTCGAGACCTGCATCGAGATGGCGTTTGCCGACAGGCTTGCCCGGTGGGGGTTCTTCGTCAACACGGTGCGTGCTGGCAGAAGCTTGTAAGTCAAGTCTATCACGACAGTCTCAAAATGGATGACATCGTCTTGGGTGTTTTGGTACAATAAACATGCACTGCAACATACACAGCACAAGGCGAAGCCTCACGATCACCGACCACGCCTATGCATCTCAACATCGTCCGCTCACAACATGACGCTGACCGCCTGAGGGGGGCTTTTTATTGCAGAGAGCTGAAGAGCGGGAGCCGGGCCACTTCCCACTTCACAGAGGCAGGGTCCTTCCCGTGAAGTAGCACAACCAAGTACACCAACCAGGTTGGTCTTGTGCTTCCCGCACACACCCTTCTTCGATCACACCATTGTGTTGAAGTTTTCATTCCTTTCGCCCCCGGATATGTATATACATCTTGGCGGGTTCATTGATTTTCATTGTAGGGGCCAGAACCAGGTAATAATGGGCAGGCGTATTGGTGTGAAGGGAAGCGTAGGATGATGCCAGGACCGCCACTGGTGTATATAAGTGCAGATGCTGACTCAGGCTGCAGAACCACAGTGCACACACAACAAACGAGCCAAGAAGAAGTGACGGCAAGCTGCCAATATCGGTCAACATTGTTTGACGTGCATCTTGGCACGGCAAACTCTGCATCGGCATTGATTGATGCCGTCGCCAACAAACGAGCCACGACGATGCCCGCTAACTAGCACATGCCAAAGCGTGATAGCCGTTGGGTAATAGGTAGGTAAGTCAGTAGGCATCTCGCCCGTATTAGCCCGAATATTGGTCTGTTTTAAGAGTCTGGGGTCAACGTCGCAAAAAATGGGTACCGTGTGATTGGATCCTTCTGCAGTCAGCCTGCCTTGATGAGTGAAAGTCCTTCGATTTGCATGTTTGCTTTCCACGATGCAAGCCAGAGCAAGTACCTCGTCATGTACCTTTTTGTTGCGAAAAAAAAGTATCGCGCCGGCCCCACTCCTGGCTTGGTACCTTGCCCAATCATGCGGCTCTACCACGACGTTATCGCTGCCCTCCGATTGGTCCGCCAGCCTCACAACTTGTTTGAATAGAATTCAGTTGCTGGAAAAAAGAATGAACCAGAATTGCCTCGGAAAAACGTCTTGTAATACCATGTAAACGTGTAGGTTTCGGTCCATTCCGAGGCCAAACTGTCTTGCATTCGATTATATTTGCTATCACGTTTTATCAACAGGAACAAGTGAGACTTTGTCAAGATACATAAACACGCAACTAGTTTTGGGGGCCGAGGCCGCCTCGCCATTTCAAAACCACCAACCCAGCCACGCTAATAAAGATGTACCCTAATAAGAGAATCATCCGCCCAAGCCCAACAAGTAGTTAAAACGACAACCCAAAAACGAGGCGGCCGAGCAGCCACATGCCTCAGCGGCATTTCAAACCCAGCTCATCATCACGCCCAAGCTTCTGCATTCCGCGCTACCTTATCTCTCGTTTTCAAACACACGCCCCCCCCCCCCAGTCCCCCGCCTCTTTTCGTCCCATCGACTGACCATTCTTCTTGTCACAAGAGTTGGTTACCATTCACACAGACTTTCTTTGTGTGTTACGCTTCCCTCCGTAATTATCCCGCCGCTCATTTGTCCCACGACAATCCGCCGGCCCTATATCGGCCGCCCGGGTTTTTCTTCCTCTGCCCCGACGCCCCGGGCCTGACCAACAATGCCACCACTTTGTAGCAACTGCTTACTCTCTCACTCTCAACCCAACTCTCACGTCTCCCCACGCTTTTGAATTAACCTCACGTCTCCCCACGCTTTTGAATTAACTAATAGCTCCCCCTCCGATTTCCCCGATCCACCGGAAGACCCCAACTACCGCTAAATAAAGGTGACTCGCAGTTTTAATAGTTGGCACATGTGCCCCCTCCGGAAACGGAGTGTCCACGCGCACTCGGCTCATCCCCTCCAAGGTACTAAATAGCAACCGATCCAATAATACCAAGGGTATTCGTTATCTCCCTCGAGAAAATGGCCACACACCCCTTCCCCACACTCGAGACTTTCTCTCGGCTATCCTGTCAGAAGAGCTTGGTGCCTGGCCTTGGGTGGTTCCTCCCTTTGCCCCGGACCGACGTCGCGAAGCACTGGTGGGTGACTGCGGTAAGAATAGCCGGGGCGACATGTGATGTGCGCAATTGCCCAACCGATGCAGCCTTTTCACACTTGCGCCAATGGCATGTGCATTAATTCCTTTTATTGAGCTTTTGGGGTTTTGTGTATTTTCCCGCTAATCCGTAACCGTTGATCATCGTCGTGGACGGGCTGCATGAGTGCATATTCGACGTCACCAGCATCACAGCCCGCGGATGTTGTCATCGTGCTCACACTTGCAGATTTTATTCACCTCTACAGGCCAATCCTCCAACTCTCTTCACAGCTTGGTCACGTCCTCCACCCGGATACCCCAGTACCAACTCGCCAAGAACATGGAGCCGACGCTGATGGTCACGGCCATTAAAAAGTTGACGTCATTGTTGTCCAGAAGATCCCACCCGCTCTCCACCACCCGCGACGGAAGACCCTTTGTCGGCGACGGCGGCTGTCTCTGCTCGTCCGCCGGCTTCTTCTCACTCGCCTTCGGCGTCGTCGTTACCATGGCGCGAGTGCCGCCCTCGCCCTCGACAATCTTGCCCGAGCGCACGTCCCGGACGGAGCGCTGCAGCAGCGCTCCAAGCACGCTGTCGAGCAGCGTGCCCGCGAAGCCGCATGCGACCAGGAAGCCCATGAAGACGCGGCGGTCCGCGACCGTCCACGGCGCGCCGCCGCCGAGCGTCGCCGCCGTCGCCTCGCTGCACGACGGCAGGAACAGCACGCCCACCGTCACCATGAGCACCGCGCCCAGCAGGCCCGCGCCGAGGCCCAGCAGCGTCACGCCGCCGTTGGTGCCCGGCGGGACCCGGCGCAGGCCCAGCGACGTGATGAGCCGCGGCTGCGCCGACGCCAGGATCCCCAGCTCCGAGCTGAACGTGTCGGCCGCCACGGCCGCGTAGTTGGCAATGATGCCCACCACCAGTAGGTCCCCGCCGTACGAGTAGCACATGGAGCCGCTCGGGTTGGCGCTGTTGGGGTCGACGTAGGCGGCCGCCCGCTGGCGGAGCTGGCGCGCGTGTAGAATCGACAAGACGGACGCGACGAGCGAGTTGGCAAAGACTGCTGCCTGTTAGCATCGCCGTAGAGAATTTTGCTTCATTCTTGGAAAGCAGCTTGGGCTGACCTTGGATGTGCGTTCTGGGACCCTCGGCTTCCGAGGCACCAGCTGCGCTGAGCGTGAGCTTCGCCTTGACATCCTTCTTAATCTGCGACACCATTAGCTCCATGCCGTGCTGTCTAACTGCTGTCTGCGCATCGCTCACCTTTGTGACACGGGTTCCCGCCAGAAAAAAAGCGACCAAGAGCGCAAAGGGCATATTCCACGGGTGGTATGCGTGCGCAGCCGCCGTCGCCGTGGCGGCCACGAGACCCATGGGCGTCAGCGAGCGCCGGGCCGCCGCGAAGACGATGAGCGCCAGCGTCGCTGGGATGGCAATAGCAGTCTTCATCGTGTCGGGGTTTTTGTATTTCCCAGCTTCGAACGTTTGGAGGAATGCGCCTCTGTTGAGGTCCAGGTAGGTGGTGTGGTGAAGCTGTTGAGAGGCTGGAAATGAAGCTCGGCGGGGTCCAGAAAATATAGCTTGAGCTCGCCTCCCTGCACCACCTGACGGGTCACGGCGTGGGCACTCGTCAACAACATCAAAACACTCATATTTGGCAAATCTAGTGACCAGATGTAATCAACTAGCACTGTTTTCTCTCAAAATGTCTTTTAAATACTAAGCTAACTAAGAAGCTGCTCGCTATTTCAACGACACGCGGCCTAGGCCACAGGCGCATGCAGCCCGTGGAAACCAAACGAAATCGCAAAATCAGCCTCGGCCCTGCCCATCTCCGTCATGGTCTTGGCGTCGAGACATAACAGATACGACCTCTGCCCCGCCCCGTCCAGCACCACGCTCAGGAGCACGCCGTCGTCCTCGTCCACCGCGTCCGGCCGCGCCACGAAGATGGCCTCGCCGGGGGTGTGGCCGGCCGGCCCGCGCCACACGAGGGCCTCGCGCGTCGCCAGGTCCGTCTTGGCCAGGCACTCGCCGATGGCGGTGCTCAGGCCGCGGCTCGGCACGCTGTACACGTACCGGTACGGCCGGCACGCATACGCGCGGTTGATGGTGGG